GGCACCTCCAAATCGGGATGAACCCTGGTGGCCGGTGGAGGAGGAGGTGGATCAAACTGGGGAACCGGAGAAACTCTCTGAGAAAACTGTGAGTCGTGAACAACGTCATCCGGAATCGAAGAACCGAGAGCTGAAGAAGATGATGCGCCTATATGAGGACCAGACTCACGACCGAACATATCTCCGTAATGACTCCCGTCAGGAGGCGGCCTCGTCTTACCCTTAAGCTTTCTCAGTCTAACCATCTAAATTTTAAAAATAAAAATAAAACATAAATATACTAGTATCATTTGAAAAACACATAAAAACATTTAAAAAAACTAAACCAACCAAATCTAAATTCCCTAAACTAATCATCTAATCTAAATTCACTAAACTAACCACATAATCTAAATTCCCTAATCTAATCACTTAACTAGGAATTAAAGATTACCTTAAGAGGATTTTGAGAGAAGATTGCTACAAATGAGAGAAATCGGATGGCTCGACTTTATATAAGGAATTTGATTTCCGCATAAAGTCCTCGTAATTTTACGAGAAAATAGTGAGTCCTATGTGGACTTTACGAGGAAATGGCGAGTCCCGCGTTTCCTGTTACTAGGGTTTTACGAGGAAAGGTTTTGTAAATCCTTAAACTCGAAACCTCAAACACCAAACCACAACTTTCTTAACTTATAACCTCTTCTACAACAAAACTTCAAACCTCTTCTACACCTAAACCCCAAATTCAAATTCATTTTTGAGATTAAACAAACTTAAAACATACATAATTCAAATTCATTTTTGTGATTAAACAAACTTATAAAATATACATAATTCATTCGGATACATTCTCGGAATTTGTTGAAACATCATCATGTTCGTAAAACTCGTCCTCAACACCTTCGTCCGTTGAGTGATCATGAACATCTTCGTATTCACGATTATGCGGATCAATGAGTAGGATGTCATCAATTTCGCCTTTAGGTTCCTCGATTTCATTAGTGTTTTCTTTTTGTAATGGTGGTTCTTCTCCAGCGATTATTCGTCCTCGAGGTGTAACTTTGATAACAGCTAACCAGTTTATTCCCGAGGTAGTAATCCGAGGGTATGGAATGAAGTAAACTTGATCTACTTGGGAAGCTGAAAGGCTCGAATTTGTTGTACCTGCAAAAATAAAGACAACATAGAAATTAGTACTCAGAACATGTATGTCAAAAAAAAACGATTTTGTTGTACCTTCATCCACAATTGACATCAATTACACCGTTCTTGTTAATCCAAACACCTCTGTTAACGACGGGGTCGTACCACTCACACTTGAAGATAACGCATTTCAGACTCATACCTGGGAATTGAACTTCATAAATTTCCTTGCAAGATCCCGTAGAAATTTGTTTTGCCTTTCACACATATTCCATAATTACTTGTCGCCCGGTGTCTACCATAATCATAGGTATGAAAAGTATAGCCTCGGGTGAAATACATCGATGATGTAGTGACCTTTGCAACTAGACCTTGAAGTAATTTGCGAAACTATGCGGGATAATCAGGATCGTCATAATCAACCTGCAAAAAAGTGGATGTACTTTGTTAAAATGTTTCCAAGCTCTTGCATCTGATGGATGAGTCATCTCTCCATCCGTCTGAGTATGCTCAGCGTGCCATCTCATCCCTCCATCAGTCTCCTCAGATTGGTACAATCTTTTCAATCTGTTTGTGATTGGTAGGCACCACATCTTTTGGTACGGTACTCTATTACGCCCTCGACCTTGCGGTTTGAATCGTGGCTTCTTTCAAAATCGACATTCTTCTAACTTCTCATCATCTCCCTAGTAAATCATGCAATTGTCGATGCAAACGTCTATCATCTCCGAAGGAAACCCAAGACTATATACCAATTTTTGAATCTCATAATAAGATTCAATAGACACATTGTCTTCTGGCAAATACTCTTTAAACAAGTCTGCCCATGCATCCATACAATTTTCAGGTAGATTGTGATCGGTTTTAATACTCATCATTCTAGCAGCCAACGACAATTTAGACAAAACTTCTCTACAACCACTGTAAATTGGCTCATTCGCAGCTTCTAACATTTCATAAAAAAAATTTGCATCTAAGTTAGGTTCTTCAACTTCATCATCATCATGAGTTACAAATGCATCACCTACCATATCTTGAACCCTATCACAATCTACCATTTGTTCCTCATGGTGATAGTCATTTCATTATGCAAATGATCAACCGGTTCAACATGAAAATTGCTATTACTACTGCTAGCTTCATTCCTACAATTAACATCTTCTCCATGTTGATACAAAATATAATAATATGGCATGAAACCTCTATTTATTAAATGCTTCCAAACATTTTCACGAAAGCCTAATTTTGTATTGTAGCATTTCCGACAAGGACATAACATCTTACCACTTTCATGCGGGAGTGGCGTAAAATTTGCTTGATGCATAAACGTCTCCAACCCTTCGAGAAATTCTTTCGTCACTCACCCGTTATTAACTCTTTGTGAATACATCCACTTATGCAACTCGAAAATATTTCCAGGACCGGACTTTTTTTTTCTTTGATCAAGCTTAAAGCTGATTTTTTTTGTGTGTTTGAAATGAATCACAAATGGTGGTATTTATAGAAATTTTCGAATCTGAACATTTACTAGGAAATTGCGAGGAAAAGTAGGTACAAAACACGTTTTTTAGATTTAAAATAGATATTTTCTAGCCAGTTCCTCGCTAATTAGAAGTAAAAGAACATTTCCTCCTAATTTCGTGGTAATGTTTTACGTGGACTTTACGAGGAAAATTTTTACTACGAAATTACGAGGAAATTTTTTACTATGAAATTACGAGGAAATGTTCTTTTGCCACGTAATTTCCTCGTAATTTTACTACGGCCTTACAAGGAAACAATTTTCTCGTTTGTTTACGAGGAACTTACTTTGCTTCTAGTTTTCCTCGTAAACCGGAAGTAATTTCGTCATAAATTTACGAGGAACGACTTTCCTAGTAAAATTCCTTAGTAAATGCGCAGTTTTTTGTAGTGATAATTGAAAGACGACATCAATATAAGAAATCGCCATTGTTGCATGACGACATCAGCAAAGAAAGACAACAGTCTTACTCCAGACACGAAGAACTCCAAATGAGTCAAACTAGACACCTCGATTTCTATAGGGATTTTGCATATAATTGAAAGACGACACCAATGCCTTACATACAACCAAAAAAATCCAAACTTTAAACCAACAAAATTGGTAAAATAAAAATTTAGGTGCTGGTGTAATATAAAATAGTTTATGGGTTTAGAAGAAAGAGGTAAAAAATACAGAAGAGTTTAGAAGAGAAGAATGAGAATGACTTCGATATATACAAAGTGAGGTCTGTGAATTTCGCCTAGTTTATATAGGGGTATTTTGGCCATTATGAAAGTGTAACATTAGAAATTCTATTAATGCAAATATCTATGTTATATGTGTATATGGAGTGCAATTACTCTTATTTATATATATGTTTTGGCTATTTGTGACTTAATTCACTCTTTAACACAATTTTGAAATATTTAGAATTATATTAGTTGCATTATTTTTACTCCAAATAAATTATTTTTAGAAAATGAAAAAAATCTATGTATAAGGATAAATCTTTTAGTCAAATAGTCAAATTAATAATTAACCAACTATTCGATAGCGACATAAAATTATAGTTGTATTTTATTTTTTCTGAAATCATTATAATGTATTTCATATCTTAATTATTAGTAGTAGATTTTAATTAATTTTATTTATTTGTACGATGAATAAGTAAAATAGATATGAAATAAGTCTATCTTTGGTTGAGAGAAACAAAAAGAGGTGAGTGCGAGGAACTATTTTTCCATGATAACTATCATATATCATAAAATATTTCCTAAACTTCTGCTCATTCTATATATTCCCGCAATTATATTTAGAATAAATTTAAAAAGTCTACATATAAGGATAAATATTTTAGTCAGATACACAAATTAATATTTGGCCAATTTTTTATACCAGCAAAAAAAATATAATTGTATTTTCAAATTTTACAAAAATCATTATAATATATTCCATATCTCAATTATTAGTAGTATATTTTAGTTAATTTTTTATTTATTTGTACGACGAATAAGTAAAATAAAAATGAAGTAATTGTATCGTTGGTGCAGAGAAACCAAAAAAGTGAGGATGAAGAACTATTTTTCCAGGACAACCGGCATATACCATCAACTAACTGTTTCCTAAACGATTAGCTCTTTCTATGTATCCCCGAAATTACAATTTGAAAATTTAAAAAAAAAATCTACGTATAAGGATAAATCTTTTAGTCAAAATACACAAATTAATTATTTGACTAATTTTACGATACAGACAAAAAAATTATAACTGTACTTTCAAATTTTACCAAAATCATTATAATGTATTCCATGGACCATATCTCAATTATTAGTACGACGAATAAGTAAAATAAAAATGAAGTAATTTTATCGTTGGTGCAGAGAAACCAAAAAAGTGAGGATGGAGAACTATTTTTCCATGAAAACTGGCGTATACAATCAGCTCATTTTATATATCCCCGAAATTATATTTAGAAAAGTTAAAAAAAAAATCTACGTATAAGGATAAATCTTTTAGTCAAAATACAAAAATTAATTATTTGACTAATTTTACGATAGAGACAAAAAAATTAGAATTGCATTTTCAAATTTTACCAAAATCATTATAATGTATTCCATGGACCATATCTCAATTATTAGTAGTATATTTTTATTAGTTTATTTATTTGTATGACTAATAAGTAAAATAGAAATGAAAGTAATTCTATCATTGGTGGAGAGAAACCAAAAAAGTTTATAAATACTAGTCACTGATATCAAATTTGAAGAAATCATTGCATAGCTTTTCCATAGATTATACATGCAAGTTTATATAGTTGTATGAGAAAACAATAAAAATATATTTCAAGCTTATTTTCACCCAAAAAAAAATCATGTCGACCGATGAGACTTTAACTGATTCGCAACTTCAACTGGTTCCCGCTTATGGCTCTTCTTCAGACGGTGAATCATCTGGTCCGGCTTCGTACGCTGATCTTGTCCGAAACCCTGTACTTTTCTGGATCAAGCTCGGTGCTTTTCTCGAAGTCCTTGGGAAAACTCTCGTGTAAGTTTTGCATTTTTTCCTCCTTTGTTTTTTTGTGTGTTTATATTCTAAAGAATTATTTTATTATCTGCATCGGACTGAAGGTATCCTACTGTGTGTGGAGAGAGTCTGGATCTGTATCAGCTTTTCGTCCAAGTCACAGCTCGAGGTGGTCTTGAAAAGGTATCTCTATATGATCTTAGTTTCATATTTAGCATATGCTGCCATTGAACATCAAGTTTCTCAAAGCATTTGTGGTTATACGTGATACATATCGTGTTTGTTTGAAATCGTGGTGTGATTCTAGGTGATGGAGAATCGTAAGGCCAAAGAAGTGATTGGAACATTTAACTTCAAGAAACCAACGACCAACGCAGCATATATTGTAAGGAGGAACTATCTGAGTATGCTCTTTGAATTCGAGCATGTGTATTACCACAAAAAACCACTTTCTTCATTCTGGGATAGAGGTCTGATAATAACAATATTTATTTTATTATACTAATCATTTTTTTATTATTGTTTTACTCTGAGATTAACATATTAAACTATGTTCTCCCCGTATTTGTTTTTTTTTTCACAGAAGAATCTGTGAAGCGCCTTGTGGAGAACGCTGCACAGGACAAAGGTATATATTCAAGTTTACATGCAAATTGTATAATTAATTAATTCTGTAGTCTTGAAATTTTGCATTGTGAAACTTGCAGGCTCTCAAGTCCTGCCTCTTGGCTCCAAGATTAAAGGGGTCATTGATGGGAAGTTCGATAAGGGCTATTTTGTGACCATGAAGATGGGATCACAGGTGCTCACAGGAGTGATTTACCACTCTTTTCCTCCCGAAACTCCTCCAAGGCCCAAGAAGAAAGCGAAACTGTCTCATGTGGATTCATTGCGCCCAAAGTCCCACAGGTGCGGTTATAACTTCTTCTTTTCCGAGGAGTACCATAGGCTTAAGGCTGCGTACGCTGGGCAAGAACGCTCCCTCATCAAGGAGATCGGGAACAAGTGGAGGAACCTCTCTCTAGCTGATAGAGAGGTAACTAAGTCAAACCAACCATCTCTCAAAACATAAAATAAAAGGAATGATATTATTTAACACTTACACCAAAAAAGGAATGATATTAGTTAAACAGGACTTTGTTTTCTTGGAATGATTTATGTAAACAGGTTTATCAAGTAAAAGGTGCTAAAGATTTGGAGAGGTATAAGAGTGATATGGCTGCTTACAAATCCTTCGCTGCTTCTTATGAGGCGGGAAGTGTTAATGCTGCGAGTGATGATGCTGTGGCTGAGGCGGATGATCTCTAGTCTGTCTTATCTGCTTGCATCTTTTTATTTTTTAAGCATTTTATAATTTAATAATAAGTTGTAGAGTTGGCCATAGATTTACATGCGTGTATGTATACCTTGCCAACTTTTACATAAGTTGTTCTTTTTCTTTCTCTCTTTCTCTGTTTCCCTTTGAGAACTTTAATTTGATATTAAGTTATTTTGCTTTCTTTATTTTATTTCTGCAATTTTTTTCTCTATAATTTTGTATGAACATACTTTTAATTTTATCTTAGGATGGTGTTAGCCATATAAAATAATACATCCTGAATTAAACTTGGTCCAATAATGAAATGCATATCGAAAAGTAAATAAATTTTCTGAAACCAGTGGATTAGATTTCAATGTTTTCATGAAAATATTAAGAAACTAAGCACTTAAGCATACTTTCTCACCATATATGACTATCGAATTTTATCTCTGTTTCCAATGGTGTGATCCAAACTTCTTATGAAGTCTTCAAACAGCTCTTTGTTGATTACGAAATATAAAAATGAGAGAATCCCTAGGCAGTAAACAAAAGAGGAAGAAGTATAATAGATTAGGTAGCTTGCGATACAAGTTAAACACAAACACGAAACATAATCAGCCAAAGAAGCTAGGATCATAGCCATTGCTAGAAGTGGCCAAGACGTAGTAAGCAACGATGTGACCAATAGAACCCCAAGCAAGAACATCCACGATGTTGAATCCAACGGGGTCGTTCGACTTCAAGAGGCTTACGTATTCCTTAGCACGATCATCTCCGGCTTCGAAGTGGGTCTTCCCGTTCTGCTCCGGAACCTGTTTCGCCACGTTCTCTCTCTGGAAGTTGAAGAAGACGAACCGGCCTAGGAAGAGGGAGAGACCGGTGCTGAGGCTTATGACGACAGATGGGCTGAGTTCTGCTCTCACGACCGTGGAGGAGGATGATCTTCTTCCGACGGTCGTGGATAGCTTTGGGAAGGCGGAGGAGGAGCCACCGAGACGGAGGGGACGGAGGCCGTGGAAGGAGATGGATTTTGGGGTGTTCTTGGAGATTGCGGTGGAGAAGGTTGTTGCGGGAGTGAGCAAAGCTGATGCGTTTGTAGCCATGTTATCTTCTTCTTTGGAGTGCAAGCAAGAGAGAATGTGTGGTTTTGGATTTATGATCTGTAGCTTTGGAGGAAAGACGATACAAGATTTTGTGTTGTGATTTGTGAGGATACCATCAATTCCAGGTTGATGATGTGGCATCCTATCGTTGGTTCCTTTTGGATAATGAAATTTCAGACCAATAATTTATGTTACAGCCCCTTCTAGTTTATACTGTTATCTATAAGGAGCCTTACGTTTTCTTTTATTACAATTTAATCCACATGGACATTGTGAAGTTGACACAAATCAGTATTTGCGTTAAACCCCTCATGATTTATATGTTTTTACTTAAATTGGCTAAAGTTTTCTTTAATTCGATTTATTATACAAGAAACAAACTATCAATATTTGTGTTAAAGCCCTCATAGTTTAAACAATCTCCTTAGAAGATCATGCTTTATTTTAATTCACACACATTTTATACCATCGAAATTCAACATGATGAAACCAATCCCTAAAACTAGGCATCGGTGTTCCGTTAGGATTCGATTGGTTGATTTGGATTTTTGGGGTTTGCGGTACTATGTTCACAACTCTTATTCAGATTTTACTAATTATCTGATCATATTTGGCGATTCTTTTTGGGTTCGACTCAGATTGAGTTATAACCAATATATGAAACTGCCCAAAAATCGTTTAAAATAAAAATTGAACCAAAAATATCTAAAATATATGTGTCATACAGAACTCTAGTTAAAATCTAGTTAAATTACTTAAACTAACTAAAATGTATTAACAATAAAACCAACCACAAAAAAAATATACATTCTAAGATATCTATATTACTCTACTATATATAAAATTAACATATTTAACTAATTTCAAATATTTTTGGAACATGATTTGGATTTTGAGTTCAAGTTGTACATGAACCTGAAAGTAGCTAGCTCTTAGCTCCCATTCAAATATTTTCTTATAATGGTTTGGATCGGATTTTTTTTTCAGTTCGGATTAAGATTAAGATTTTTTATTTGGGGTAAAACGCCAAGCCTACTTAAAACAATATTTTGCTGGTCTAGCAAGGATAAAATTTTATCCAAACTCAAGCTGAACTTCAACACCTATGTACAAGTCAGCATACATGAATCACAAACACTCATAAGAAGAAAAAATATAACTAACTAAAAGTTCTTATAATCTTGAGAAATCGATCTTTCAACTTTGTAGTGTGAGACAAGGGTCTACATCTTTAGTAGATCCTAAAACATCCATACAGAGATTCACATGTTGGTGCTTTTTTCTATACTTGTCATGTTCCTTTGATCCATGATTCTCCGTTCTCTTGTCATCCAAATGAAACTCCTTGTGCATGAATTCTAGAAACATTGCCTTATAGCCATCTGAATGGATCACATTTGGCTTTATACAACATCCTAATGTAGATTTCAACGCGGATTCGACTATCTTATTCTAGCTATAGGGTCCCAAGTAGTCGATTATCCTCCATACCAACTCATGATTACGTAGTCTACTCCAAGAAACAATGAGTAGTCCATTACGTTTATGATATGCCATTATTATTTTTATTTACCAACGACAATTGATTTAGTTAGAAACTAAAAAGGAAATAAATTCTAGTTTGTAAAAGAAGAAAAATTTGCATAATGTTGGAATTTAGATATTTTGTTAATTTATAGACTTATTAATTTATAAAAAAATAAGTTGATTGTTTCTATTTAGAATATAGTTAGTTAATTTTACTGTATATATATTAATTAAATTTTGGAATTTTGACTTTCATATTAATTTTATTGTATTATTTAATGTATATAAATATGTTTTATAAGACTTAAATATGTTTAGATATAATTTTACTAAATATTATCAAAATATATTGAAGTGTTAGGAAAATATAAAGAAAACAAAACAATTGTTTGTTTGTACTTATATAAATGTATATATATATATATATAAAAATTAGCAATTTATGGTTTTAACGAACCATATGCTACTATATATTAATTGCAAAGTGACTTAAGTGATTTTTGCTTAGGTGTCACTCATATGTGAAGTTTGGAAATAATTCTCTTAAATTGATTTGGTTGTTGGTATTTGAATTTTCTTTTATTTAAATCAAGTTTTTAAAAGGAAATGAATCCTAGAATTGTCTAATCTAATATATATTACCAAATAAACAATCAAACATCTTAATTTAAATGAATTAACAGATTTGTTTTGTTGAAACAATTGATTATCAAAGATTAAATTATATAAATTTATAGTGGATACAATAAAACATAAATTTCAGAAAAATAGAAACTTAATAATATTTCTACTCATTATATAATGTACATATATTTTTAAAATGTGTCAAATGAATGCAAAACAGTCAAATATATAATTTTCTATAAAAAAAACAATCATTGTAATTGACAATGTGAGATTCTAATTGAGTTATCACTTTTATAAATGACTAAAGTATTTTTTATATTTAAAATATCATATTATCATATATATAGATAAATTGAGAAGTCACTTAATTGTTTTTGCTTCTCTGTCAATCATAAGATAACTCTTCAATTAATTATTTTAATTTGATAGATTGATGGTTTTTTAATTTAAATTTATTAAATTCATTTTTAAAATAATAAATCAAAACTAATTTATATCAATAATGAAACAAATCATACTTACCAATAATGATTGACATAAATATGCATTTAAGAAAATTGTGTCATCACTTTTTGGATTTGTGTCATAAAGTATCTTGTGTATTTAGTTAAATAAATGTTTTACAGAAAAGAAATTTGAAAATTTTCCCTTGCATATTTTATAAATAATAATAAGATATAATTAGTGGTTAGTAATTTTATTACGTATGTATTATATAGATAATAATATACAAAATTAGTGGTTAGTCTACAAAAAAGTAAATTAATTAATTTTAGATAATATGCATATTTAATATTTTCAATTAAAAATGTGGTAAATTATTTCACGTTTTAAATGAATTTTGTTTACAAAAAAAAATATTCTTGTATGTTATATAAATGTATAATTAGAAATTAAATACAATTAGAAATAATTTACATTAGTTGTCTATTGCGTAGAAAATGATATACAAAAATATGTATATAAAGTAAATTTTAAACGTATCTTAGTATCTGCATATCAAAAAACAAATTGATACTTCTTAATCAACAAACCAGTAAAAATCTATATCGATTAAAAAACATATAAATAATTCTATACGTTTTTAAAAACAATCTGTTTAAAAAACTTTGTAAATTTTTTTTTTCATGTTATAGAAATAACTAAAAATAAAATAAACTAGTATATAACAGAATAAGAATTTAGTTTTTATTTACAAACCGTAACAATAAGAATTCTGTGTCTAACTATTCTCATTTATCAGAATCATTTGATTGGAAATTTTTTCATAATGTTTCTTAACTTTCTGCGAGCTGAAAGTTATTTATATCATAATATATGAAACTTCTTATTATCTATCAAATACGAACACTATTATTATGAATGTATATTAATGTATAAATTAATAGAAACTAAATCTTACATGAAAATAATATTAGAAATTTAATCCACATATTTATATTTTTGTTTATTTTTCATAATCTTTATATATAATTCAGTTTCAAGTATGGATTTTTTTGTCACATCATTCATACTATTAGATTTTAATAAATTTTAGATGAAAACTTGATCTTACAAACTAATTAATATATAGACATATATATGGTCTGGATGTGAATGTTAGAAAATAAAGTTACATTCTTAATGTATTAAAATCCTAATTAGTCATATATAGCTATTTCTTTAATGAAATATTAAAAATATCATTTATACTTTAAAAATTAATCAAATAACCAAACTGAATAAATTATCTATAATCTGTTTATTTAAAAAATATCTAACTCACATTCAATTTAAAAAAACTAAAAATATATTATAGCATATCAAAATATAAAAATATTACATTATACTTTTAAATTATTCGTATCCGCAAATTTGCAGACGGTGAACCCCGCACATAAGCTCATTTATTAGTCTGATTGCTCCAATATTTATACGTATGAAGCAAACTAGGAGTAGTTGTGGTGCCGGCCATAATCAAGAAGGCTACCTAAGTGCGGTCCCAAACACCGATGAAGAGTGCTTCTGTGTCAGGGCTGAAGGTGATATAGTAAATGGAGGGAAGAAGAGGGCACGTGTAGGGTGGAGATTTAAGTCGTTGAGTCGTTATAACGGAAGGGAGTGACTAATAAAAGTGTGACAGCTGGCAAGAGTAACAAACGAGTGACTCGGAAGTTGATTCACTGAGTGAGGAGCGAGTGGATGAAGTTTATATTACGATCTTTTGTAGTTCTTTTAATTCATTCAGAAAATCTTGTTAACCTGAGTGTTACTCTGTACTCGGTTCATATCGTTTGGGATTTATACAATCTTCTACGTATTTACTTGAACGGCAATCCGATCATAACGACGGTTCCTTCGTTATCAGAAGGATATTCCCGAGATCTCTCCAAAGAAATCAATCTCTTGCTCTGTTTCATACCCTTTTGAGACATCGTAGACATGGACAAAGTCAGCCGGCTCAGCCATGGCCATGTACTTCCCATCAGATGTGTAACGGATGGAACGGAAGGTTAACCCTCAGGACAGCAACAGATTTAGACAGGTTACGAACGTCCCAAACCCTGCAGGTCTTGTCTTGGTTACGTGTGGAGATAGTGAGCCCATCTGGATGCCATGCTGATGCAAAGGAAAAGTCCAAATGTCCTACTAGAGTTCTTAGTGTCTGTCGGATATTTCCAACGGAGTTAGAAGAAAAGCTTCTTTATTTCAACGATTTGAATAGAGATAGTGCCCTCCGGGTTGTCTCCCCCAATCGCCAATAGTTTACCATTAGGACTCAGAGACGTGTGCTGACAATAGAAATTACAAATGATTCATTAGTACAACTACATTTACAGTTTTCATAATGTAAAAGATGTCAGATTCCATCCTCCACGTTAGTTATTACTCAAACTTACTGCCACAAGTGTGACGCATCAAATGATACCAAAGAAAAAGTCAAGAATCAAGAAACAAGTAGGGAATTACATTGACTGGCCAAGGAAAGCGAAAATAGTTAACAAGCTGATATCTCTCCATATCAAAATCTCTCTGACTCCACAATCATTATTTTTGAGGCTGTGAAATGAAGCGCCCCACTGCACAAAACCAGACCCCCAAAGATATGTTAGAAGCTGTAAACTGCACAAGTTGGCAAGAAACATGGAGCAAAAAAGACAAGCATGTACCTGGGTTTGTTATAAAATCTCAATTGCATTTGTGATAGCATTATCATCAGAAGTTGTCCGCTAGCAAAAGCTCAAACCAGGTCTATCAAGATGCTGAATCAATTATCAATGTGGAAACAGTTAATTAGATTGCATGTTACATGAGATTCATCCATGCTTCCTAAAAAAACTATACAGCTTACCTTGCATATAAGTTCTCCTTGAAATCCGTCAGCAAAACTAAAAAATTATCCCTTTCACCAAGTGTACTCACTTGAGTCTTTGTAAATCCCTCCAACAAACTTCCAGGAACATGACCTTGAACATTGAGAACCTCATGCTTTCGGGATGTCAAAGTAGAATAGTGGTTCACCAAAAAATTTCACATAAGGTAGACATCGTGCTTAGATGTTTCCCAAACCAAATTTCTAAACTACAATTCAAAAGAAAATGACATTATTTTACATGTCTCCACGTAAAAGCTTTGGATGAAATTTTTTTTTTTAAAAAAAGGGTATGCTTTTGATGATAACCTGGAAATGAATAATACTTGATTTGATAGATCTTGAATTCCGCCAGAAATCATAAAAGAAGGCCCCTTTCTGTGTGGCCATGCAATCCTGAGGAGGTGATTAAGCAAATGAGATATGATAGCAGTTGAAAGCATAAGGATGAGAGAGAATGAAGGAAGACTTACTTTCTTGGAGGAATCACTAGAACTAGGGACATTTTAATAGTTTCTTACTGTTCAAGTCTAGTTTGTCTGTATTTGTCTCTGGTAATACTAAGCTTGTCCCAAGGAATGCCCTGAATGTCTTTCCCTATTCGAGCTTGAGCAGCTGTAGTATCAGCTATTTTTTTTATTCTGACACCTACACTGCAGAAGAGTAAGCGATTGCGAAGAAAAAACACTCACTTCCTATACATTTCACTCAATAGGGATTAGATTAACTACAGAGTAGTCAAACCATGAAAACCATCATCTAAACCGTCATGAGCCTCTTGCATTTGATCACCAACATGGTTCATGTAGGCAGCAGGATCCACCGCTTGGTAATTGGACTTTTTTTTTTATTGACTTGGATAAAGAGGCACTTGGCTGCATGATATTTATCCTCCTCTCATTCACAGTCTCTACCAACGTAAAAAGGACGGTCACAATTTTTTCATCATAGACACTTTTAGTTTACCATTTTACTCTTCCATTATTAAAATTGGCTCAGACTATTGGGGGATTCATTTGTCTTTACCTCATGCCTTTCAGAAGAGTTGAGTTGCTATCATTATTTTTCTTATGTAATTTAAGCTCTTCATGCCAGTGAAAACTCTAATCATATACACAAATCCACTACTACAAGATTCCTAACAACTAGTAATAGTCGTGTTCACAGTCTCTTTTTTTGTTGCTTTCATTTCTCAAACATATATTGATAAAAGATTTTACAACATCTCTCATTCAATTTTTTTTTGTTATTTCTATTGTTTTCTCTCTCTACACAAGATTACAACAGAAGGGTTTCAAAATCAGGTTGATTATACTCAACTCTGATGTCAAATCTACATTATCAACCACAAGATCTCCACCATCAAAAGATTTTCTCTGTCCCTCCCTATCTTCTTCTTTTTCTATTAACTTATGGAAGGAGGTGGGCCTACGAGCGAAAGGAAAAAAAGAAAAAAAAAGTTGTGACCTAAGTTAGATGAGGAAGGAGATAAAAGCAACTAACATGTTTCTTCTTCTTCTTGTAATCTGTTCTCTCTATCTCTCTGTATGTGCAGACGTTTTGAGCTGTATTTATGCAAAACTCAGCAGAAGATGATGTTCTCTTATTGGCTTTTTCTAACAGAACAATCTTCTTCTCTGCAGAAAACAGAACCAATTTGTGGGTGTTATCACATCGCATTCTTGTTCACCACAGCAAAGTCAAGGCAACATATATTCAATGGGGGTACTTACATGAAGTTGGGACTCTCGTATACTTTCCAGCATTTCAGTTATTTCCATCTGCTTCATCACTGTGGCGTGTAAAGCCTGCAACCACCACTGGAAAATGTCAAACTCCATACTGCAATTATGCAGAGTTTGTGAAAAACAAAACAGCACATTATTACCCTCTTTGTTTTCTCGAGATCAAACTCAACCGATTTGATTCTGTCTAGAGAATCCATCAGCATTCTCTCCTTCTCTGCGGGAATTTCAACCGGTTTGTTCCTGATTTCCTCATACTTTTTCTCAAGTTTCTGAATACGCTCCAAGCACGGGCCAATCCGGTCTTTTATTGTGGTCTCCATAGGTGTTGGTGTGAGAGTGCTCCTACTCTCATCTTCCGTTGGAGTTGAGGTAGTAATGGTATTCTTCCTTCTCGAGAGCTCAAACGGGATATAACGGAAAACTGCTGCTAGTTTCAGCAACAACGAGATTATCCTTTTGGCTAGGTTCTCAGGTTTTATGCTGTCAGTTCTTCCCTTTAAACTGAGATCAAGTTCGAGCATTTGATATTGGGATTGCCTTACTTGGCCTCTTCGGTTAGCAGGTTTGTTAGGTATGGCAAACTTGTCATCGCAACTATAATAGCCGTTAACATCTGACGTCCTAGCCTGCATAGATCATACTGTTCTGGTCAGTATTAAGAAACTAGAGTGGACTGTTACACGAATGTACCCACACAATAACTCACTTCCTCATAAGCTGAATTCACATGAGCAGAGGCTGAGCACATTCTTCCAGGAGGAACATCAGAACAAGATACAGATTCTGCTGCTGAACTCTCAGCTTGCATAGCCTAAAATTCAAAATTGGTTTGTCATACTAACCGGAGAAAAAGTTGTAGAACCAAACAGAGATATTCGCCTTTTACCATAGATGGATGTATACTTATGTAGGATGAAGAATTCTGCGGGTCACTCAGCTTCCTGGTAATTTGCCTAAAGAGTGATGATTCTCCATGGCAGATGAGCTAATAGAGGCACAGATCTAAAATGAGCTTCATGTACAAGTCCTAAAAACTGAAGGAAAACAAACCTAAGTTTTAAAAGCAACAAAGAATAGGATCCAAATATTTACCTTCGTTGTTTCAGGATCATTCCAGGGTCCTTTATTAGAGCGAAGACATCCTCCGTCGCCAAAGCAAGAGCATGAGCCTCCGAGGAAGTCTGGCAATTGACTAAAAGAAGAGAGCAGTGGATGTGGTAAGTATAGGCTACAAATGATAGCTGAAAATTTCCAGGTGTGAAATGAGTAGAAAGCAAACTACCTTGAATCAATGACTTCATGTAATTTGGATAAAGATTTGGGTTCTAGCACCTGCAGCAGCAAAAGTAAGATAGAAGTACAGATGGCAATAGTTAACAAAAGAGAAAAACTAGGGTGAGAGCTGTACTTGTATTTTTGCGATGGTCTTTGCATCAAGAAACTTCTGAGCAGCAGGCCAAAGCATTTTCTTGAAACCTGTTCCAGCATTTACAATGTACATTCTGTGCAGCGTCTGCAACAAAAAAAATGTAACTTGCAACAATCCGGTATGTATGCAAAGAAGATATAAGATGTAAACTGAGAAACTCAAGTACCTCAGGGTAGTAGCTGTTGTCTATCTTCGCCATGGCAGCCACAAGACTTGCACCTGTTGATGTAAAATTCTTCATGCCCTGTGTTTAACATGAGACTACACAAATAAGAATACGGAAGCACTAAAAGAGCAATACCACAAATGCAGAAAAGCTCAAAACTATAGGAATATCTTAAGAAAGTACCAGTCCTTGCACATCCAGTATTGTAGTGGAGGAATAGATACGGCGCTTAGCTGCAATAGAGCATGCAGGGAATTTCTCTAAGAGAGCTCTCTCAAACTCTTGCACATGATATTTTAGATATCTATCAATGGTGGTGATACGCATAAGCTTAGAGGGATGAGCTTTGCCAAGTCTTTCAATGTAGACAGGTCTTCCTTCCTTGTCAACTCCATGATAGCCTTGGGGATAGTATTGCAGAACTTCTTCCATCTCTTCGAAATCAAAATCCTAGCATCCACATACACAAAGGTAAATAAATTCAAGAGCTTGATATGGAGTGACAAACAAGCTGGTGTCCAACTTAGCTCAGTGAATCCTTACCTCTAGTATGGTATCTGTACCATATTCTTTTCTCCATCTAAGCATTTCTTCCCACATCTGGATGGTCTTTTCAATGTTAAGATCTCTGGCCTTCAAAAATCTACATATAAAAAATAAATAATGAGTTAGCTAGAGAGATCCCACTTATAAACAACACATCACAAATTAAACTCAAGGGACAAACAAACCTGAGAAGAGTATGGTAGTCATCATGTCTAGGAGGTAACAAGTCTCTCTGGAGAAGGTTACTACGAAACTCAAGCACAACCGACTCCTCTTTCTCATCACGTACATCTTCAATGGAGACTGAAGGAATCCTATAGTCAATTTTCCTCTTGCCTCTTTTCTTCAAAGAATGAGTGAACCTGGTTGAAGCATGAATGGCCTTCTTCTTAAGATTCCCGATTTTAGAGCGGCGTCTTTCATCATCTTCAGAGATGTCAAAGTCAGATCTTCTCTCCCTGGTTTCGTCAAGATATCCGTACTCTTCAATGCCTTCAAATAGACAAGTCAAAGTTAACTTGGATTTGATTCATCCGTAGGGAATGAAAACAAACAAAACTTTTACCTGACATATCAAATAAAAGAGAAGGCTTGTTCTTGATTCAAAGGAGATGCATGTGGAGTTATACGGCCATCACTCTTGAGGAAAACAAACCTGAAGAAACAGAAGGCAAGGAAGGGGTTACTGAAAGTATGAGAAGTGATACTAAGAATCGTCTTTCTTGGCTTTTCAATTTTTTTTTCAAATTGTCCAATCAAATCTTTCATGTGATTGGCATTAAGTATTCCTTTCTTAACACGGACATAAACACCAAAGCTGAGAGATTCCCCGTGAACATAAAGAAGCAAGCACCTACAACAAAGATATTTTGCCTCAGCCAAAAAAAAAAAAAACCTTTGTGGTCTTGTCGAAGATGAGTTACAGATCTGCGCTCATATTCACTCGCTGGAGCATTTAAGTAGTATCTACAATTGTCTTCTTGTCCTAATAAGAAAAAAAAAAAAAAAAAAGAAACGCATCACTTATTTAAGCTGGTCATAAATGCAATCTCGAAACTTTAAAAAAATGAAACGAAACCGTTAAAGATGAGAAGAGTAGTTATCATCGAAGACCACGAAATCTCAATGATTCTCACCGACACTCACACAAAAAAAAAAACTAAACTAAACGATTGAAATCGAAGCAATGCCGATTGAATACAATACGGATCTCTCTCACCCTCGAACAAGTGCAAAAAAAGGGGCTCCAATGAAGCTCTGAAATTTACCTCCGATTCCAAATAGCCTTTTAAACACTCTGATAGATTCTCCAACGTTAATTTAAGAAACGTAAAGGCTGCCTTCGATGATAAAAAAAAGGATTAGATGCAGAGAGAGAGAGAGAGAGTGGAAAAGATCTCGCGTGTAGTTGTTGTGTTTCTTCTTTCTGCTTCTTCTTCTTTTAGTCTTGAGTTTCGTTACTTCTAATAATAATATTCCCCCTTTTGCATTTTTTAGTTTTAGATTTAATTTCTATAGGTTTGGTATTTTCATGTTCGGGTCCAATGGTCCCTTTTTCTGTAAAACAGACAATAGGGAAGGTAAAAAGGTATGGTAGCTTCGTCAGTAACTTTTTCTTACCCCTTTGGTCTCTCTCTCTCTCTCTCTCTGCCTTCACTTTGCATGCGTGTCTCCTTTTCTTCCCTTCTCCCCATGACTGAGTTGAGTTCCTATTAAATTAGCCAATTCAAAAGGTTATATTTCAACGTTACGTAAAACGACAATTTAATAAGATGTTAAAAAAGGTTGATTAACGTATCTTACGCTTTCTAAAGTTACCTTAAGATTTTCTAGAAATACTAAACGTGTTTTCTCATAAAGCAACAAAAATAAAAGTGTTCTGTTTTTATTACAACAAAAGGATGGTGGTCATTAATTGGAGTAAGTTGACTTTTCATACGAACCACATACTGTGTTTTGGACACGTGCCGCCACCAGTCTGCTGTGTTTAATGCATGCTTCCCCATCATTTTAGATTCAATACTAGGATTCTTGATTTCTGAAGCATTAAATAAAGAGTATTTGCACTCCATACACACACAAAACACATTATTTAGCTCTATACCCTATTTCTCTCTTCTCTTTCCTTCCCTCCATCACTAATTTTTCCCCCTAAAATATGGCAAATCCCTAAATATCTACTTCTTTTGGTATTTTGAGCTAAATCACTCAAAAATAAACTACTAACATTCTGGTTAATTCATTACTGTGCTCTCAGTAATTACTACCTGCTCAGCTCCTATATGTTTTTCTTTCTCAATTAGTACTCATTTTTTCTTGGTAATCCATAAGTAATCATTTTTCAAACTGGTTATAGAATCATACTTGAGGCTGGTGCAACTTTCTTGTTCTTCTCACCAATACTGTTTATTTTGTTCTTTGATGCTTTTTTCTTAAATTATTTCACCATTCCTGTTAACTATTTACTGTTGGTTACTTAAAAAATGGGTCCAGCAGTAAATGAGAATGGTCCCATCAGACATAACAGTACGTTACAAAAAACAGCTTACAGCATAGTTCGGGGGAAAACCATTTACATCATTATCAAATGATTTTTTTTATGATTACTTTTTTACTTTTACCCAAATAAAAACGACACAAGCCACTGTCGTTTCTTCCTCTGTCCAACCGCATCATCGAACCATCATTTGCCATTTAATTTTCACTTTGCTCTTCAATTTCGTACCGACAAGTAAATCCGGGTAAAAAGCATTTAATGATCGGATACTCCCACCAGCAAATAACCACACTGCTAGTTACATAATTATTGGTAAAAAAATTTCATTTTTTAGTGAGAACTCGATGGTCCAAATTGAGATATAATGCATTTTTGTGATTACATCTAAAGTATGGTGTATACACACACACACATACACCAAATATGTTTACAAAATGCATGTACAGTATTCTACTTCTTTTTATTAATTTGAAAGTATCTTGTACCTATAGAAAGGTCTAGACTAATTTTCAAAGAAAAGTGTAGTCTACCTTAGCAAGTGGATCAAATCTGAAATGTGGTAGCGTTCCAACTACTTTCTTTGTCACTTGACCACACTGTCTCGGAGAACAGTATCCTATTTGATGGGTTCAGTATAGATAGACAGAGAGATGTTGGTTATAATTATGATTAATAACCGAGTTGACCAGCTTTTTTAATATATAAATCAAAATCTGTACAGACTACAAATCTAATATTGAGCAAGAAAACATATAAAACTGTGTATGCACTCGGAGTTGTTGTATACAGATCATATAATATAGTACATATCTAAATCCACCCTTGTTAATATTTAGGCCTGATAGTAACGTTTTGCATCAATTTTATAAAACTCAAGAAAAAAATGTGTATAAGTAGCAACAAAGAATGTCAAAAAAAATATCAAAACAGCTAAAAGTAATACATTATTAACTTTAAAATTGGAATATACAAGAGGAAAAGGATAAAAGAAAGATTTGGATGTGATAGAGAGAATCCAAGGATGGAGAGCAACTTGACATTGTGACAAAGAAGATGGCGAAATCTCCCTTCTGCAGTGCAGTACCGCTGAATAAAAGTCATTTTGAATAAATTACAAAGTTCATAAATAAACAAAAACGAAAGAAAAAAACAAGGAAATGTCACTTTCTTCACAGAATGAAAGCCATAATAATGCTAATACCATTCCAAAGCCCCAAATATTCCCCAGCTATTGGTCGTTTTCGTTACCCTTGCACTTTGTACTTACATTTCATACAAATACTACATGTTTTACAAACCAAAGTTTGGTTTAAGTTTCTAAGAAAATAATAATACGCTTATCAGTACATCGTGTTTTCTACAAAAAAAGGTATGTGATATTATAAACAACGGGTCAGGGGACATATAATACATGTTCTATTTGTTTTTTTTGTCATCTGGTAGTTTAATTAGATCAAATATCATTTTACACAAAACAAAGAGACATTACCCACCTTTCCCAAACCAAAAGCCAGCAAGGTAAAAAGTACCATCCAGAATCAAGAGCTAACGAAGTAATATGTACCACCCAGAGCCAAAAGAAAGACATAACACAAACTCTTAAAACTAACAAAGACAAAGAAGAAAAAAAGATGTCCCAGAGGCAGAAAAGTAAAATGGAACATCAAGGGAAGAGTGCTCAACCTTGCACTCAAAGACGAGCTTATCTAACGCGACTCAACAACAATTAACGCAAGTTGAGAAGAGCAATGAGATAGACAAGAAGCACACGAACATCACCAAACACATAAATTGAATTAAGAGAGATTATAATCCTTAACCGTCGCTGTACACCCTCCAAGCGTCTCATACGCACCATCACCCCACGGCGAAACCTATAAAAGCTTCCCGATTAATCAAACATAATAGAAAATTTTAATTATATATCAAGATAGATTAGGTGATGATTGTTTGTATAGTAAATAGATTTTAGTTTTGGATTTTAATTATTAGTTTTAAAATTTTAGCTTTTATTTTTTGGTTTTTGATTCTGCTATAGATTTTAGTTTTTCAAAAAAAATCAATGGTAGTAACATTAGATTTTGTTTTTTGTTTTTCATACTATAATAAATTATTGATAATATTTCTTTTAAAACTATAAAAAATACAAAAGTTATTATTATCACAAAAAACTAAAAATTATATATAAAGTCTATTTTAAGAATATTATGTTATTTTATTGCTTGTCTTGACTGAATATAAATAATTGAACCTACATCCATATATACATATTATCTGACAATAAAAATTAATAATTGAATTTTTAAAAACAAATAAAATTAATTAAATTTTAAATTGGCAGAAATATATAAATTTTATCAAATCGGAATATTATAATTTAATATCAATAATTAAGTTTAAAATATTATCTAATTATATACATATTATTAAGTACCCGGTTAATAGTTAGTTTATTATTTCAACAATTTAAAACTGAACAAAATTTAAATATATTTTTGTACTTTGGTAAAACTGTATAAATTAATTTAATTCCAAAATGAAATCAGTCATTGAAAGCTCTAAAAATCCATTAAAAGAGGATTTTGGTTTCTATGTATAAAATGGTGTAAAGTTGAAAAAATGGTTTTTGAATTTATCCTAATTTACATGTACAAGAACTTTGTTCATATATATAAAATTTCATTGTGTTAAATGATGATTAAGTAAATTATAATATTTTTTCAAGTGAAAAACGACGTGATGTTGCTGAAGAAACTTGACCAAAGTGGTTTTTGGCTTTTCTTTAGAAAGTAACAGTTTTTCTTTTGAAAAACTTGTTTTCCTAATAGGGAATCTATTTTTCCAAAAAAAAACTGATTGGTTAAAAATTAGTTTTCTGAAAAACAAAAGTTAAAAACTACTGCAGAATCTGCAAACAAGATTTTGGAAAAAAGAGGCAAGAGTAAGCGAATAAGTATAACTTATATTATATATAACTTAAGTTAACGAATACTTGAAAATACAATACGTTTTAACCATATAGTATGGAGTTTGTCAGAAATAAATTTTAAAAATAGGAAGAATTTGTATTCTTAAAGACTTGTGCGATTTGCTTTTCCTGATCCAAAATAAATCCTTTTTTTTTTCTAGGAGGTATTACTTTTTCTCGAATGCCAAACCTTTCTTTACATTGAGGTCGGCAGTCTTCTTTGTAATTAAGAAAAAAAATGCAAACTCTCTCTCTCAAATAATTGGTGGTATGGGGTCCTCTCGAAATTAAATTTATGGATCAATAATATAGATAGTGAATTTTTAGTCATAACTCAAACTATCACTTTTAGGGCATCTCCAACCCAACTCCATTTTTTACTCTAAAATGGAGTAAAAGAGAATATGGAGTAGAAAACACTCCAACCCTACTCCATTTCCCACTCCATAATAGAGTTTACTCCATAAATGGAGTAATTTGTTTTTTGTTTGTTCATCACTCCATTATGGAGTAGAAAATGAAGTGGGGTTGGAGCATTTTTACTCCATATTCTCTTTTACTCCATTTTGGAGGAAAAAACGAAGTTTTACATTGGAGATGCTCTTATGTACATACTTGCATGAGATTGTTAATTTAGTAAGCCTTGGAAATTTTAATAAACGATGCTTTTTAATTTAAGAATCAGAATAATCAAACACCTTTGTTTGGGTTTGGGTTTTTGAAGATAGCTTCGAGAACAAGCCTGACACCGTCTCTTTAACCCATGGAGTCAACTCTTTAACTTTCTTTGCCCTTTTGACCTTTGAAAGTTTTGAACTTCCCGTGAATTGTTTTGCCACAAAATCGATGAACATTTCCTTTAAATAAAAGTTTAAACACATAATGCACTAATTACCAGCGGTCACAGGGGTCACGTGTGTGCTTATTCACGATTAGCAATGTAGCACACGCGTATACGGAGGACATGGAGTAGCAAGTCAAAGCTGTATCGAAACAAATAATTATTTCAGTTCCGTACAGTAGAGTTAGAGGTTGGTATGTGTCGTGGAAACTGTTGAGTAACTATTCTCCATACCAGAGATGGGCCCCAAAGAATCTACATTCACTGTTTTACTTTTTGGTTACGTTAAGTAACTGAATGGTATAAGTTGTACTTCTGTAAATTAGTTTTTCTCCATTGGTTATACAGTTTTCACTGTTAGAAGAACTAAAGAAGATAATATTATCAAAGGACCGGTCTCAAAAATGACTTGTGGTTTTAGTTCTTTCTCCCTATGGCCTATTTCCCCATGGGTCCCTTATCAGTATATTTTTTTGGAGCTTTGGAGAAAGATCGACATGTGCTACACAGCTCATTGCCTGGTCTTGCAATTGACGACATGCCGTTTTTTCTTTTCTTTCCATCTCAGTTTTTTTTTTGTACCAGTTCCAAGGCGTTGAGGCATCGTCCTTCAAATAACACCTCATTTCTTCTTTTCCATAGATTCCAAATATTCCACGGCCACACTCCTTTATGTTCATCACTCAAAAGTTTGAATGTATCCAGATTAAGAAGAAAGTTAATGTTAGCAAAAACATAACCAACATCAAAACCACCCTTCGGATTCGGGACTGTAGACAAAGCCCAGACTGGCCTTGCAAAACAGCAATCAAACAACATATGGTTGATCGACTCCACCTCTCCCCCACAATTCTGGCATCAGTTATTTTCATACTTCTAACATTGATGAGATCAGCCGTAGGAAGTGCAACACTGATGGATTTTGATAGGTTCAAGAAGGCTTACTATCGAAAGAAAGGAGGAAAGGTGGTGGGAACTGAAGTGGAATGATCCGTTGAAGTATTCATTCAAATAAAGAAATTATGAAACTTTTACTTCAGAGAGAGGCTTTGCAGTTACACGGAGGGAGTGAAGTGAAGATAGTATAAATAGAGTTGTCTTTTGTTTACGAGATCTTTATGCTTTGATGTTGTAATCTCTTTGACGATATAAGTTTAGAGGTCTCAGTCGCTTTGAGACTGACGATGATGGTGAATTCGTAAAAAAGTGATCCATTGTTGTACTTCAAAGCTATAAATTTTGACTGGGCTCATTTTAATAGGAAACATTATTCATTATTAAAAATTACTGGAGTCAGCTGACAACTTTTTCACCCGGCCTTGAACACTTTATCTACCTCCGTATCACATAGCTTCCACCACGCTAGGGTGTGGGGATAAATATCCATAGAAAGAAACAAAATTAATAAGGTTCCTAAAGCGATCAAATCTGTTTTGTAGTAAAATAGTCGTCAAACTCTTCATAGTATTGAGCAGCACTCACTATATATTGTATTGCCAGAAAGGTCTCGCGTGGTTCGCATATCTGCAAACAAAAAAAAGAACATAAGCAACTAATCTTCCAAAGAGTTAGTTTTAAACCTGAATTGGTACGGAGTTAGTGTTAATCAAGATCCATGATGCACTAACACTAAAACATATAAAATGCAATGTGGAATCCAAAACAAAATAATAACATAATATTTAAATAATTCAAAACATAAATTAACGAATAGAATTTTCAAATTTTATTTTATTAATTTGAAAACTTGTCATAAATAATTGGAAGAGTATACTATAAACAAATAAAAAATGAGTTCTAAAGATAACATTTTCGGTTCGTATTGGGCAAAATTTTCATTGGTCAAAATATGGTCTGAAGACTCAGATTAATAAATGTTAATGACCGATAATACAATTCAGGTAGTTGGAAATACACAATTAATAGTATAAACCCATGTTCGGAACTATACTAGATGCTAATCGGGTGACAATTGCGGACCTAGCGAATTATCGAAAATTAGAGACTAATCTGAATATACGCGAAGATTTGTTTTTATATTTTTAATTATTAATATACGTGTATATATATATTAATACATGTGATAATTGGACGTATAAACAATATATCACAGTGGTTCATGACTCATTTTCTCACATCGGTTATCTATGCATAAGAGGAGTCTTAAGTTTTCTATAAATACATAGAGAAGATCTTTTTTCTTTCAATACGAATGGGCATGTTCTACGGCCCATATTTTTGTCATTAAGTCGAATTTATGTTATGGTGTAATCGGTTTTAAACGATTAATCGGATGTCCAAAACGATTAATCGGTTTTTAAAATGATTAATCGGGTTTCCAATTAATTGTACTGATTTAACCAAAATCACAGCAGTTGACCTCCATAGAACGTCTAGTCAGCTATATAGGCGACTGGGTGACCGCGTTTTAGAACATACGTATAAACATAGCTACTGATATTTTCCAGAAATGATTTCATATTAATAGAAGCCACTTTATATTTTCCACTTTATATGACTTCATATTAATAGAAGCCACTTTAATATGTCTAAACTAAGTTTTCATGCATAATAGTTACTAACATGGTTACACCCTACAAATGGGTACACATTTTACTAAAAACAGTTCAAAGAAACCCATATAAGGCCCTTAGTTACACCCTAACAAATGAGTAAACGAAGCACATGCCCTATCATATCAATAAAAAGAAAGGTTGCATGATCAACCGACAATCACATCACCACCCACTCTGCCGTCGTCCCCGCCTCCATCTCCTCTGCCGCATAAGTGGCCTCTTGAACTTCTCAAGGGCTCTAGGTGCTTTGGACCTCTCATGAGCTGACCTGTTTTCCAAGGCTTGACTCTCCCCCATGTACGAGCAATGATATCCAGGTCAACCTCCATGACTGCGTGTTTCCTCACCGGAGGTGGAGCCATGACCTCAAAATCTGCAGACTAATTGTGATGGATTCGCAACATACAATTATCCAAAGAAACATTAGACTGAAGAAAATTAGACATATAAAGTAGAGTTTTAACATGTATACATATACAAAAAGGAGAGTTTTACTTCTTACATGCCACATACACAAACATGATTACAAATTCTTGTGTCTACTTTAACTCCTACTTTAATCTTACTCATTCATATTGATCAACAATCACAATTCATTGTGCAAGATGCAATGGATTCACAACACATGGTTATCCAAATAAACATTAGGCTGCATAGTTACACACAAATAACAATATTCATAATAATGTGCACAAGTTTTGAATGAAGACTGAAAATACAATATGGATGGTTTATTGTGTACTATTTACATAACTTTATGTAATTATTACGAATAGAGAAAGGATACTTAGATAAATATTTATTAAATGTTAAATGTTTTTTATGCAACTTCAGTTAAATCATCATTTTATTTTTACAAATCAACTTAAACCAAATTATAAAAAAATCAAAAATATATTTACACATATATGATGAAGAACCAAACTAATACAACAAATACTATTAATCTAATCAATTGGGCTGAATTAGATTAAACACATATGTACTCTAACTGAAGGAATATATGTGATACAATACACCAATAAAAAAATGAGTAATTGGACCAATTTAATTTCTTATATCCAAAATCAAAATTCAATTAAAATAATAATAAATTGTTATTTTTGTACATGTATATTATCGAACAATTCAACATATTGTCAAATAAATATGAAATCCTCAAATAATATTATAGAGATATTAACCAGCTATTACAATTAATTTATTTTGTTTAATTTATTTATATACATGAAATTTCAAAAGACTATCATTGTTGTATTCATTTATGTACTTTGAAGCGATCAACACTTTACTTTATTTTTATTATATTTGATTATCAAAACAACATATATTAAATTATACCTAATCTTACTTATATTTACAAATCTAAGAAAAGAATCAAATTAAATGCAATTAACAAAATGAATCAAAATTTTAATTTATAGAACAAAAATATTATGATTCAATCTAGAAATTAGTTGTTATTCAATATATCTAAGTAATAACCAAATAGAAAAAATAAAATATATTGAAAATCATATATCTAGTTAAAATAACATAATAACATTTTAAATAACTTCTGGATAATAATTACAAATATAAATTAAATATAATTTAAAATAAAATATTAATAAATGGTTATAATATATTTACTTTTAAACATTTATATACGAGCATGCACAAATCACCTAGTTAATCAATAATAGTGGGTTTGGTTTTACCATAGAATTGTGACAGGTTTCAATATTTTCACATGAATAATAATTTTTAGGACAAAACATGCATGTATTTTCATTGTTGACCAAAAAAAGACATTGTATATGATCATGATTCATGAACTTATGATAAAACAATATCCTACTGCTGTTTTCTTTGGTTGCAATTTGCAAATGATCTCCATTTAAATAAAGCAACAAGAGCTGTCAAAAAAAAAAACAAAAAAAAAACAAGAAATTGACCAAAAGCATAGGAATAAGTACTATACAGCAGCAACATTCAAATATTAGGGATTTAATCTCATGTTAATCATCAAAGCGTTTTTACACAGCTTTAGAAAAATATTGTTCTTCTCTGAAAGCTCTGCATCATTCCCAACACGTGACACCAACGCGCTATCACAAGACTCGATGGCGCTGATCGCAGCATGCAACCAGACGTCCACATCCGCATGTGTGTTGGCGAGCATGCCGGATACAGAGTCGTCAAGCTGCTCCAACGCGTTTTGGTAGTTCTTCTGGCAGTCCTCGAGCGTGACCTCTGACATTGGCTCAAGATCCTCGATGCTAAGATTTTCATTGATGTAGGTGGAAGTGGCTGAGGCGTTTGCTGACACGACAATGATATGTTTTCGATCTCATTGTTGGTGGCAATGAAGTCGCCAGAATCGGGATAATCCTCACTGGTACTTTAGTTTTAATAATATAGATGTTAGAGGAGTGAAAAAAAAACATATGTTTCAAACGCATGATATATTTAAAGAGCCTAAACCATGAATTTTTTTTTTAATAAAAAAACCCATAAGTATTAATAAATATTTGAAGAAATGGGTTCAGATTTTAATAAAAAGAAGAAGACCCAAAAAGCCCATGTTATCATTTTGCGCCTCCACTTCTACGTCTCCTCCCCGGTAGTCCCCTTCAGCAGCTGAGTCAGTGGCCCTTGAATCACTTCCTCATGTAAGTCTAGACTTATAGGATCATACTCTAAGGTTACCCGTGCAGACTCCAGGATCATCGGATCAACCTCCACCACCGCATACATTCTCGCTGGATCTGGAGCGACCAGTGCCGGAACTACACAAAAAAAAACAATCAAAAAGAGAGACATCAACACATCACTCTCTCCATTTTTTTTTTATTATCTCTAATGGCCTTATCTGACGCCACCGAAAGAGATATTTACTTACCAAGAGCGAAGACATCCATGATTTGGCTAACCGCTTTATCTCTCACTCCACCGTCACACATTTAGTTGGTCGTCTAATGCATGCGCTCTATGATACATCTACAAGTGGTTTCTTCTATATATATTGCCCATTTTCACAATTTTGAAAAAGGTTTTGGAAACAAAAAAAATGAAAATGAAATGTTATATTTGAGATCAGCATTAGTTAAGAAGATTAATAAATGTGGTTTTCAGTTATTCCTTATGATTACCAAACTAATTGTGATGTAGTTCGCAAACACACAATTATCCAAAGAAACATTAGACTGAAGAAAATTAGACAAATCAAAAGAAAAGTTTAACATGAATACCATAGATAAAAATGAGAGTTTTATTTATTGTATGTTACATACACAGACATGATTACAAATTATTGTGTCTGCTTTAATCTTACCCGTTCATATTGTTCGACGACCAACATTCATTGTGCAACAACCAACACATGGTTATCCAAATAAACATTAGACTGCATAGTTACACACAATTAACAATATTCATACTAAATTGTGCACAAGTTTTGAATGAAGACTGAAAATACAACATTGATGATTTATTGTATACTATTTACATAAATAGAGAAATAATACTTAGATAAATGTTTATTAAATGTTAAATGTTTTTTATGCAATTTCATATCGATCATCATTTTATTTTTACAAATCAACATATATCAAATGAAGAACCAAACTAATACAATGAATACTATTAATTTGATTTGGCTGAATTAGATTACAAACATTTCTACATTAACATATATCAACTTCATCACAATACACCAACAAAATGAGTAAATGGGCCAATCCAAATTCTTATATCCAAAATCAAAATTTAATTAAAATAATAATAAATCATAATTTACAGTAATATTTTTGTATACATATTAATTATAGAACAACTTAACATATTGTCAAATAACTATGAAATCCTTAAATAAAATTATAGAGGTATTGAACCAGCTATTACAATTAAATTATTTTGTATAATTTATTTATATACATGAGGTTTCAAAAGACCATCGTTGTTGTATTCATTGTATGTACTTAGAATAAATCAACACTTTGTTTTATTTTTACTATTTGATTCTCAAAAAAATATATAGTAAATTATAAATAATCTGACTAATATATATTTATAAACCTAAGACAATAATAAAATTAAATGAAAATAAAAATAAAAATGAATCAAATTTATAATCTATGGAACAAAAAATATTATGGTTGAATCCAAAAATTAGTTGTTATTCAATATATCCAAATAATAACCAAATAGACGAAATATTATATATTGAAATCATACATCTAATTAAATAAGATAATATTATTTAAAATAAGTTATGCATACTAGTTACAATATAAATTACAAAATAATTTAAAATTAAAAATAAATATTAATAAATGATTATAATGTATTTATTTTGTAAACATTTATATATATGCATGAGCATGCGAAATCACCTAGTTAATTAATAATAGTAGGTGTGATTTTACTTTGATAACGATATTCAGTTTGGAACCAGTAGATAGTGTTCAATTGTGACGGGTTTTAATATTGTCACAGAATAATATTTTTAGGACAAAACATGCATGTATTTTCATTGTTGACCAAAAAAGACATGGTATATGATCATGATTCATGAACTTATGATAAAACAATATCCTGTTGATGTTTTATTTAGTTGCAAATGATTTCTGCTTAAATAAAGCAACAAGAAATTGACCAAAAACAAAGGAACAAGTAATTACTATACATCAGCAACATTCAAATAATAGGGATTTAATCTCATGTTAACATTTTGTTAATCATCAAAGCGTTTTTACACAGCTTCAGAAAAATCTTGTTCCTCTGTGAAAGCTCTGCATCGTTCCCAGCACGTGACACCAACGCGCTATCACAAGACTCGATGGCACTGATGGCAGCATGCAACCAGACGTCCACATCCGCATGTGCGCTGGCGAGCATGGCGGAGACGGAGTCGTCAAGCTGCTCCACCGCGTCTTGGTAGTTCTTTTGGCAGTCCTCGAGCGTGGCTTCAGTCGCTGGCTCAAGATCCTCGAGGCTGAGCTTTTCCTTGATGTAGGTGGAAGTGGCGGAGGCATTAGCAGAAGCAACGGTGATAGCTATGATCTCAATCTCGTTGTTGGTGGCAGCGAAGTTGCCGGAATCGGGACTGTCTTGTATGCTGGCGAGACATAGCTTTGGATCGTCAGAGTGTTTGCATAAGTTAGAAATCAGACCGGAATCAGCATTTCCGGCGACGGAGGAGAGAATAACGATGCAGAGGAAGAGAAGTCCAGCGAATTGCTTCATTTTTGATTTATTTGGTTTGGAATGAGGATTATAAGAATGATGAAGAGAGATTTTATATTTGAAGAAAAACAAATGAAACCTCCAAACCAACAATCGAAATTAAAAGCGAATTTTGTTGATTTGTTTTGTATTGTTGTGGAAGAAATCTATTTTTAGTAGATGAAACTGCTAAACAGAAAACATGATAACAACTTGACTTGATCACATTCCTGAAACGTTTGAACTGAAATGACCTAACTTGACTAGCAAGTATCATGCAAAAGAAGTCATGGAGAGTTCTTTTACCCGATGCGATTTTCGTAGCGTTCTTCATTGATTTCTCACTCTGCTCATATCCACCTTCAGGACTATCCGTAGCCCGTAGAGATGTTTCATGTGTTTGCAAGAGAATTTTTTTTTTTTGGTAAAATGTTAATATTTGCAAGAGAGTTGTTTCACGGAAGAGATCTTTAAGAGGAAAACAAAACAACAAACTTTAACCCTCGTCATAAGGTGAAAATACTTGATTTGTAGTCAGCCTATTGTAAGTCCACCTACTGTGGAGATAGACTGTTAAAACAAAAGTATTGAGAAATCTCTTGCAGAAGCTTATGATAGATCCTTAAAACAATGCAAGATGCAAGACTACTCAGCAACCAATTCAACTAACACATTATCCAATAAAGCTAAAATAGATACACAAAAAACTACTCCTACATGGCTACATTTATAATCCCCCATATACTGAGATAGTCGCAGTTTTGAGCTGTCAGTAGTTAGCCAGCCGCAATTCTTAAAAAAAAAAAAAAATTTGCTTAGTAACTCCAAGCTTCAGTCACCTTCGTTTGTTTCCATTCAAGTGACTCATTCACCTGGAAACCAATATGATTTTTACCAGTGGCGTGGATGGTAAATGTTGAGGTTGCTCTGCCTCATCAACCTTCCTTCTTGTGATTCTTCTACGTACAAATGATGAAAGCTGGTACTTGTAGACATTGATCTTCGTCCTTCCCAACCATACATTTCATGAGAAGAGCGTACGGAGAATGGTTCTTGATAAAGCAAAGGGCGTCTTTCTGGTGATTCACCAGTGTACCGATGAGGATAGCTCTGTGTTTCCCTGTTATAAACATCAAGCGGAACTCCACTGAACCGGGGTGAGCATTCAAGGAATCGTTCTTCTTGACGATGAAACTGGAAGCTGCTTCTTTCAGTGTATCTTAAGTAGTCTTGGTACCAGTGATCATGGTTTCTTTCAAGAGCAAACGAAGCTGGTCTTTGAGTTTCTCGAATAGAGCTAGCATCTTCAAACTGTGAACATCTAAGTTCTCGGTAATAACCAAGATCCAGTGGAGATGTTCTCAATTGTCTTGACTGAACCAAAGGATCATGCACTTGCCTAAGGCTATGGTCCTGGTGATAACTGAGATCAAATGAAAGTACTGGTCCTTGGCTAACACCTTGACATTGTGTTTGTGGCTGGAAAGGATACATGAGAAGATCAGCTTGGTGACACTTTGATTCTCGTTCCTTCATTTCTCTCCATCTAACCTTCTCAGCATAAATCTCCTTAGCCACACGAGAGACTCTGAACTTGAAAGTAGTGCACTCTCCCAAAGGGAAAGGCTTGTCACACCTAGACCCATCTCCTCTCTTATTCTCATAACCAGGGTACTCGCTCTTCTCAAACGCCACGCATTGTTTCAACACAAGAGAACATCTGCTAGCGAGCTCTTCAAGCTTCCAGTGACAAAAAGGAGCTTTGTTCTTGTGAGAGACATGGATTTCTCCATCAGCTCTTACCAAATGGGCTGCACCATGGAGGAATCCAAACACCAGTTCTCTATGCTTCCTAGTACAACAAAAACACACACATGTGATACAAAGTAACAACACAATCAACTGCGAGAAGAGCAGCACTACTTACTTGATTAGTTTTGAATCAGTCTCTTTGCCGTGGAAGCCGGCGTGAGGGAAGTTGAAGATGATACGGTCAAATCTTCTGGAGTTGAGATGAGGATGTAGTTGGAGTTTAGTAGCATCAAGTCCATGTAAGAGGGAAGCTCCAAGCCTCTTCAAAGTTGCAAGGTTTGATCTTGCCTTCTTATACTTTCTAACCACTTCATCTGCTTCAATAAAACAGTAAGAGACTGAATCCAACTCTCAAAGCTACAACCTTTCAGCAGAACAATGCAAAATACTTAACTCTTCAAATGAAATTTTGGATTCTTCTCATTTGAAACATAAAAGTGTTTTAGGTGAAAGTGAGGTAAAAAGAAAACCTAACTAATCTCTTGCCATAGAAACTTCAAGGGAGATCAAAACCCTAGCTAAACTCTCAAAGAAATGTAAAGGAAAGAAAGTGTTTGTTTTGTTTACCGTAGGAATCGAGAGAGGAAGCGCAGATATTGGAAGCAGAGCGGAAGCGAGTGGCTAAGCTGCAAGAGAAAGAGAAGTCTCCTTCGCCGACGAGAAGAATTTCATGGTTCGATGAATAATGTGTCACCCATACTTCATCATCATTATCATCATAATCATAATAATCTCTGAAAAGAGTGGAGGAAGAGAGCTCTCTCGTGGTCGCCATTGCAGTGAAGAAGACTGTGGTAAGTGTTGTTAGTTTCGAAACTATGGTATAACGTTACACAGTTTGGCTTAGAAGTGACGATTTAGTTTCCTATCAAACAAAAATTGAAATGGCGATTCGGTTTACAGGACAAAAAGGCGAAAAAGGGATGATCAGTATAGTAAATTGATTTTTTGTTTTTTGTTTTGGGTTTTAATCCATAAAGTATAATGTATCTTTGTTGCCATTTGAGGCCCATGAACAGATCCTTGAGTAATGATGATTTGGATGAGAAAAGCGTTTTGGTCGTCTCCTCTACAATTATACTCTTATGGACTATATAAGCTAACACATGAATGAAGAAATGTGCTTCAAAGACTCTATGTACTTTTACATATAACACGTTTCATGAGCCTTTGATAAACACAAAGATTCATCCATCCATCCTCCTGATACCTAAGTAGGTTTTTAACAAGTTTTCAGTGCCGGAAATCATGCGATTGTGCATCGTGAAGGCTAGCAGAATCGTTTATAGAAAAAGGAAAAATCAATTTCATTTTCAACCGTACATGAGAAATTAGACTCATATTAATGGGCCAGGCCCAAATAGCTATGACGTCAGGCTTTTAGTTAAGTGTATAGTTATGTCGGGCTTTTTGTTTGGTTTTGTGTGTATGTTAAAAAATCTGTTAGCTAACAGGAAACCTCTTTTGCTTTCAGATTTGATGAACATGGTTTATCCATCCCTCCACAAATGACTATGGGTGCTGCAGGATCAATGAAGTCTTGTCTCTTAGAATCTTGGAGTCCTTTTTTGACTTTGATCCTACCAACAATGATGCATCGGTCCAAGAATTGAGTTTGTTCTATCTTTGAGCAGCACTCACGTTCTTACTGCCATTCTGAAACATGTACTGTATGATCTCTGTATAAATGACTAGCAGCAGAATTAGAATTATAAGATGCTGTATTGGTTCTTAAATCCTACTCGCTTGTCTCTCAAATGTTTGTTAGATTCCACCATCAGAACTACGACCGGGCATGCCAGAGCTATCAAAGTTCAATCTTCTTCCATTTGCCACAATGTGCACTTAAGAAGGTAAAAAGATTCTTTCTTCCCTCTGCTTCATGTTTTATTTATAAAGAATAGCCAAGTGATTGAAATTATATTTCGTTTGGAACTGGTAGCTGAGAGATGTGTGTGCAATGGAGAATCGTACAAACGCAGCTCCTACCGTGGAACCAAATGACCCTGTTTATAGAGATGATCAACCAGAGCAGATTGGATGAGCATCAAGCGCATACTGGTTTGGGACAATGACTCTACTGCTGAACAGCCCATTAACAACGACGGTAATACTACTCAGAGCTTTTCTGCATCTCGGAAGTGCGTGTAAAAGATGGAGCCTGGTTAATCAGTGAGGAGTCAGACGTGGTTAAAGGTCCAGGCTTGGTCAGAAAGAATGCAAACATTCCACCAAGACCGGAGAACATATGCTGGAGATGTGAAAGGCAAGGAGGAGCGTTGTTGTTGATATGTAGCAGAAGCGTGTGTGAAGTAAAAGTTCACAAAGAATGCTTGAATTGTCGGGTTAACTTTGACGAAGACGACAACTTACTCTTCCCTGTGTGCTACTGGTATGATAGCATCACCATGGAGTACTACCATGAATCTGTGAAGTTAATGAGTTGTGCAAAGAGAAGACTCATGAAGTTTTTACAGCTGCTTTGTAGAGCAACCAAGAGACTGAGATGATGATGGAAGGTCTTGTTACCACCTCACAAGTGTAAAAACTTTTGGGTAATTACATAAATTTTGTGTTGATGCAAACAACTGTGCAAAAAATGATTTACAGTGACAAATGTGTTTACATGATTTGTTTTTTTAGGTAATTATGATTTTATTAACTACTTATTTTTTTGGGTATTTACATGACTTAGTAAATACATAATTTCTTTTTGAGTAATTACATAATTTACAGCAACTCCATTTATTTTTTACCATAAGAGATTGAAAAAAATATAAGAGGCGGGTGACGTCAGCGAGCGTATAAAGTAACCGACAATGGTGGGGAAACATCATAACTGGGGAGATACATATAATAATGTAGTAGTAATACAAAGGACAAGACCGTCATTTCAAAGGTGTGTGTATTTTTTCAAGGGAAAGTCTCCAATTTCAATTTTCTCACTTTCTCTCTCCTCCCGCTTCTCTCCTCTCCTCTCCTCTCTCCCCAAAACAATGAATAATAGCTTGGCTGGTGGCGGCTCCTCCTCTAGGGTTTCGATTCCTCGTCACCTCCGTGAAACTCTTCAGAGTATCAGAGAGATAACGGGAAAGCAGCACTCCGACGAAGATATCTACGCCGTCTTTAAGGAATCCTTCAATGATCCTTTCGAGACCGCTCAGAAGCTCCGCTTTCTAGGTTAACTCCTACTCTCACCACTTATTAGGGTTTTTCTTTTTTTATTTATTTCTTTCTTTCGTTGAATGGAACCAGAGATTTGTTTGGTTTCATTACATTCATCTGTTTAGGTTCTGCGATAGGGTTTGGTTGGATTTTTTTTTTTTTTGAGGAAAGATCATTTGATGGATGCTCTTATGGTTTTGTAAGTGTTATAAGTTTCAGTTTGGTTCTTGAAATTGTTGGAATTTTGGAACTTTTTTTGTTTCCTGGTTTCAGATCTCTTACCATTTAGCTAGAAGGCACTTGGAATCAAAATAGATTGTTTTTTCTTTTTTTATTTAGTTCTGGAATGAGTTCGTACCGTTCAAGGATTCTATTGGACGTTTCGGTTATTGTGTATGGATGTCAAGACAATGTAGCAAAACTGTCTTCTCATTTTACTCATGACAACTTGTTGTATTGTACTTTGGTTCGTTCTAGTGGATCTCAGCATACGTTATAATTTTGCAGATACGTTTCATGAGGTGAAAAGCAAAAGAGACAAGAAGAAAGAGGCAAGTCTTCTCTTTTTCTTTAATGAATCTTTTATTTGCTGTTTTGTTTCTTTGGTCTTTTCTAATTCAGTTTTGTTTTTTTTTTTCACTTTAGATTTAGCAGAATGTTATGGATTCACTTATAATCACGTGTTCTTAGTAATTTGGTTTCTGTATGCAGAATTTAGTGCCAATTAACCAAGCAAGTGCCAGAACTGGTCGGAGGAACTTCGCTTCTACTAACACTTATCATGGTAGTTTGATTTCTTTTATGTTGTCGCTTCAAATGGGAATTGTACTTCTCTTCCCTGTTTTTAAGATTTTTGTTTGACATTCTGATGCAGGCAATGGAAGAAATGCATCATTTAAAAGGGAGAGTGGAGCTAATCATGTAACAGGGGGTTCTAGAAATTCTCATCCTAATACTAACAACCGAGCAAGAAACCCCACAGCACCTCGTCCGACAAAGTATTTTTACGTTTCATCTTTCTGTGTCTCTATGTTGAATCCGTTTTTTATTAGAGATTAAAGGGTACCTTTTGCAGGGTTTCTGGTCCTACAAGTGGGGCAAGCAATCATCAAGTGGAAAATGATTTCTCTGTGACTGTGAACAAGGGAGTTGCAGAGAAAAATCATCTTTCCAAGTCTACTTCTTTCTCCGAGGATGGTGCTGAGCCTGAGACGTCTAAAGCAAGTTCAGAACAAGTTGATGCACCTGTATCAGTGTCTCTTGTACAGAACCATTTACAAGATGCAATTCCTGCTCAGGTCTCACAACCTGTTGTGAATAAACAGCCAGCAGAGTTGCAGTCACCCACATTCGGTCGACAGGATCCTTCGTTGAGTTCTGCTTCTCACTGCAGTAGCCATTCTGATCAAGGTATGTTGGCCTTTTTAGTTGTGAACCTTTGCTTTTCCTTGATATATTCATCATAATAGCGTTATGTTAATTCTCTGGACACCTACTTAAATCAGAAATTATGGTCTGTTATTGGTTCAGTCTCTAATTTCGTTGTGTTACAGTCACCGGAAATGAGACTGCATCCAACAAAGACAAAGCTCAATCGCTTCTCAAGTCAGATGTTGGCGGGAGGTCACACGTTACATTTCCACTCCACCTTCAGGTCGCCGAAGGACTGCAAAACGGTCTTACATTTGGCAGTTTTGATTCTAATTTTGTTAAAGAGGCATCAACCACCTATGGTGCTAGTGGCGGTGATGACTCAGATTTTAAGTCCTCATACGGGACAGGGGATGATGAGAGAGATTCTTCCCCCACTACCAATGGCATTCATGCGGTTGCTTCTGCTAGGTTAGTGACTTAGTTATTTGAATCTACATATTCCTACTTTAGTTATTTATCTACTGCAATCTCTGTTCGGACACGCTTGTGATAGTTCTTATGATATAGGATGTGTATTTTCTCCTTCTTGTTGGCTTGTCCTTACCATAGCTTCTTGTGCAGAGGAGCATCATCCTATTTTGAAGATAAGGATCATGGAATTTCAAATTCAGCACTTGGAGCTGAGCTACTGCAGCATTCAGGTCACATTGTCCCACCTGGAGAAGATGAACTCAGAGAGGAAGCTTTACCGAAGACACAACCTCATCAAATTGCTTATGGTCAAGAAGCCCCATTCAGCGTGTTTGGTCTTGTTCCCTCGTTTTCAGCATTGGGCCAACCAGTAAGCACAGAAGCAGCTGAGACTCAGGCACGTGTTATATATCTCATCAAAATAGATGCAAACAATACAAAAATCTTGTTTTAGTTTTTCTTCTTTCTGATATCTGTTTTCTCAAATTGCAGCCTGGAAATTCTAATGCCCCGGCTATATCATTAGTATCATATCCGCCAGGTCAGGGCTCCATAGCTGCAGTGTCTCAGCAGGCAACTCATCTTTTCGGGCAACAATACCCTCCCAGTTTCTTCCCTTACGGCCCCTATTACTCACCGTTTTATATGCCACCACCACCATACATGCACCAGTTCTTGGGCCCTAATGGAATTCCTCAGCAGTCTTATTTTCCATCAGGTGCCCATATAGCACCAGTTGGCGACAATGAGAACCCTCCTACAACAAACCCATCCCCTCATGCTTCTTCCACAGTTGCTACTCACATCCCATCTGCAACCGCCTTAAACTCCATCCACAGTGAAGAAAGGACTTCACCAATGGTCAGTTTAATTTTCTTTTACACTGATGAAGTTGTTGAGTGTATATAACTAATTTTGATGTTCTTGTTTCAGACTGGAAATGCAGCTGCGTGGATTGGGCAGGGACTTGGCAACCTGCAGATGAGTCAAATGTACAACCTAGCCGCCCTGCAAGGTCAGCCACTTGGCTTCCCAGTCGTGCAGGCTGGTCACAGGGGGCTCATGGGAATACACCAACCATCACAGCCCATGCCCGCTCTTTCAACTACATATCAGACCTTAACGCCACTGCCACCACCACCACTCACCACAACGGCTATGTCTGAACCCATAAGACACCCAAACATTGCCCATCAGCAACCTCAGGCTGGCTTAACGAATAGGGTCAACAGCAACTATTAGGCCAAAGGGGAAGCAGCTATGAAGATACACATCAAACGTGTAAAAGTTTGGATTTTTGGGTGTAAATAGGAAACATCATCCCCAGAGGAATTTAGGTTTGACAATTACGAAGAGGGAAGAAGATGTGCTTTCAAAGTAGCAAACCTTTTTGCCATATTTTTTTGTTGTGACAATATATAAAGAATGTTTTGGGAAGAAGATCCCTATGGAATAGCTATGAGATGCCTCTTTTCTCGTACAAACATATCGGATATGACTTGGCTGAATCAGATTTTGGTTTCTCTTTAGTTTTCAGAAAGAAAATGTACGCATTCTCTTGGAAACAGACTCGTCTCAAAACCTGAGAGAACATTAACAAATGGTTCTCTGATAATCTCAAATAATCTTACACAATGTATGTTTCTCTCAGTGATTTATAGCCACGTTATGTTAGTTGTTTCTCAAGACTTTGGTTCTCTTGCCTGATGGCATCGAGGTCGGCTTGTAATTTCTCCACACTCATCCCCCGACTTGTGATGGAACCCAGCTTCTTCTCGTAGTCAACTGCCTCTCTTCTTAACCGATCAGTAATGAGGATTTTTTCAGAGATTTGCTCAAAAATACCGTGGATACTGGTCACTAGCTTGTAGACCTGTCGTACGGCTGGATCCTTCTTCAGTTCCCTGTCCGAAAAAATAAAACCATCCTCATCACCAAAGTACAACAGGATACCCATGGCACCTTTGCTTTGTGTGTACATGTAACGAATTTGATGAGACAATGCAAACATGTCAGGTGAAAATCTCATACCTTGTAACCATCTCATCCACAACAGCATATGATCGGTGCAAACGTTCTTGGATGGAGTTACTCTCTAACTGTACCTCCCTAGTCTCCCCTGAAATCCTCTGAATATCACTATCCAGTTTACGGCTATTTTTAGTTATTTCTTTAATGTTATGGATATAAGACTTCCGTGGCGCTGCTTTTGGCTGCCTCTCAAGTTCAGTGTATAGGTTACATCGTTCCTCTTCCCTGTCGGCAAAAAGGTTAACACATTAATATGATAACGAGAGTGAACGAGGTCAAGGTGACAGGCAATATCACAAGTTCTCTACTTACCTCTTTTGAATTTCTGACGAGACAGACTGTAAATCAAGTTCAGTCTTTTTCAGCTTATGCAATTTTTCTTTAGCCTTTGGCTCCTCCACATGAAGTTGGTCCAAAAGACGTAGCTTTTTAGCTTCCAAAGTCAGCCTTGCATCGTCCCTGAAAGAAGAAATACATAATCATTGCTTTAAGCAATGCTATCCTCGATGTCATATCATGTGGTTGTGCATGAAACTGAAAGCATGGACACTTTCAACTTAGAAATAAATAAATTATTGTTCATACCATTGCCTTTTCAGATCCATGATATTGCACCTTTTGACCACTAGTTGTTGATTAAGCTGTTGGAGATATAACCCACCAGGCTGTTTTTCATCCAATAACCTCTCCGCAGCCATCTTCAACAACTCCAGCTCACTGTCAAGACTGCATAGCTCTGAAGATCCAGATTCAAGTTCCTCCAAGAGTAAGTTACGTTGATTCTGTAACTCAACAGTCTCATCATTTGTCTACAAAGCATAAATATGATTAAAAAATAAAGGCTACAACATTCATAAAACTGGTTTGACATCACTATTCCTATGTGAATGTCCAACCACAAGCTCATGTACAGAAGAAGGAGATAGGGTCACAATACCTCAGAGGGGTCTATAGAAGAATGTTCGTCACATCCAGAAGACTGTCTCAAAGAAAGATGAGACATTTCATCAGTAACAGGGTCATCTGTCTTTATGGAGAAGGATTCAGCAACAGTAGAACCACTGGGTGAAGCATTTTCCGTGTGAGAGTCCGGTGAATGAGAGATTGCGTTAGTCATGGTAAGATCTGTAAGAACAGCTTCAACCTTCTGTATATGCATATCAAAAGTCTCATCTTTATCATCTAAAACATCTCTGAAATTCTCCACCTTTGGCCTGGTAGCTAGATCATCATCACCAGCCACAGGAGAAGCTTTGTTTCCTTGTCTTATCTCGGAAAGCCTCCCAAGCAAGAATGTAACCAACTCAAACGAGTCATCTTGAGATGGATGCAGAAACTGCCGCAAGCAACACAGAGACAATCTGTTTCAGAATATGATTTCACACACAAATAAGACAAGCCACACAGCAAGTAAGCTAAACAAAGAAACTATGCTTTCATCTTATGATTCATCCCACATTAAAAAAAAGCACCTTCCTTTAGAGATATCCAAAAATTAAAGTTGTTTCCTTTAATGACTTGAAAAAAAAATAAAGTATAAAGCTTTAGATTATACCTTATGAGAACTAATGTCGCCGATGTAGCCGAGGTTCTTGACGGAGAGAGCGAGATCGGTGCAGATCATATACCTTTCGGGAAGAGAGTCTACAGGTATTATCTCACTGCACAATGACGCCTCCGATGGGTCGATCAGATTAATCAACTGAGCACAGATCGATGTCAGAGCCTCCGATGTTAACTGAGCCACGGATGAGAGATCGCCGGGGATCGAAACTCCAGTTTCAATCAACGTTGACATCAGTGTATCTCCAGATTCCTCCATCGTTCCTGATTTGCTTCTTCTCCTCTTGTTTTGTTTCAACAACGGGATGAAGAAAGGACACTGTTTTTGTCAACCAACCTGTGTACGGCGCCGTTTTACACACGAACATACTAGTGACGTTTGATAATAACCAAAAACTTTAGTATAATAAAAGAACAAATTAGTCCGAATATGTATTTTATTACTTGATGATCTATATTAATTTGCAGTTGGGTCTTTGATGTTTTACATCTGCATCTTTAGCAGTCCATATAATATGTAGAAGGGGTGGCACTTCGGTTATTATATCGGTTTGGATAATGCGGTTTTAGAATTTTTCCAGTTGAAATAAACCATAATTAGTTCGGTTTAGATCTTTGGTTCGATTTGTATTCGGTTCAATTTGTATTCGGTTCAATTTGTGTTTCGGTTTGGTATAACTGGATCATGTTTTAGTTTAGTTCATCGAAGAGAAATCATGTTTTAAAACATATATAAACCTATGGTCATGAAATCATTATGTTGCTGGTCTAGGCGTTCGGGTATCCGTTCAGGTTTGGATCAAGTATATCGAATATCAGTTCTTTTTTGTAACACCTTCTACATCTCATTTTAAGAAATTCTTAAATTCAGATCAGGTTCGAATATAACACATCGGTTTTTGGTTCGGGTTCGAATTATACTGAAGTTACCTCATATCATTTTGGTTCGGGTTTTAGTGTATCGATTTCAGATTAACTGAAGTAAAATTCAAAGAAAACAAATAAACATAAAACACTTAACTTAAATTTATGAATCACAATTGTTGAGATTTGATTTATTGATACTCATTTTTATGACGTTAAGAAAGTAGAACAAGATCTGAAGATTTATAAATACGTACAAATTACTGAAATTGTCATATCTTCTATATTATTAAATGATAACATTAGACAAATGTTTACAAATTGATCATAGTGATAAGTGAAATATGAAACTCACATAATATATAATCGTAGCAACACAAATTTTGTTAAGTAAAATGAACTGATAAGAACTAAGAAACATGTCTCTCAAACTTTAGAAATAACAAAACGTGTCTTGGAAATTGCCGACTTCGTGTAATACATGTATATACTTATTTACATAATACATACACTTCGGTCATTTCAGATTTTAATTCGGTTTCGGATTAAACCGGACCCATATCCGATATCCAAAGTATCAGCATATCAGAACCGATCGGATATTTTGATGGATCCATAACCGGTCGGTTCGGGTTTGGTCCAGAGCTATTGTTAACTATGAAAAAGTAAACTATGTAAACTAAATTTAATATAAAATTGAAATATTTTTTTTTAAATAATAAAAAGTTAATAAGAAGACAATAAATCAAAGTTAACTAAATTAAATTAAAAATTAGAAAAACATTGCTAATAATATTTCTTAAAAATAAATGATGTAAATTAATTCCCATATAACTGAAAAAAAAAAACCTTAAAAACCACAAAAAAGATTAGGTTGTGTGTATTACGCATGTAGCACACTATATGTGATATGTCTATCTATCCAACATTCTGCATCATCACTATCTATTTCAGGGCTGATTTTACACTGTTGACAATACTATTGATAGCCATTGATACAAGCCAAGTAAGGACAATACTTTTTTTTTTTTTTAAATATAGATACCATTTCTGAATAAAGTTTGAGTGTTTACAATCAGAAGAAAAGAGAATTAAAACTTAGTGCAAAACATGGAACCACGTATGAAGCAGGGTTTTGATTTGGATCTTTAACGCTGGAATCTGTCGAACCAGATGTGGAGATAGGTAGGCTGATGGCGTCTAGTTGAAGTAGTCTTAGGCTCACTGTCTAATGAGTAAACTTTGAACGAAGCTGCTGTGAAATGTCTTTCATAATCATGATTGAGGTCCTGTGTAATTAAGGACAATACATATGTATATAATTTCTACAAAAGCTCCATATAGTTAAAGTTTAGTGTCTTAGATTAGGCTTTGTTAAGTATGTCTATTTTAGGGTGCATGAAAGTTCATAGTAGCTTAAGTGTACCATAAAGATATTTGGTATAATTGCTTCTTTGGTGCTTATATATATGTTGATATTTCTCAACGGGAGGTTATTACGCTCATGCACTTAATTATAGTGTTTTTTTTATGTAGCTTGAGATGGCCTAATTACTACATATTCACAACAATTTACTGATTTGTTGTATATTTACTATAGATATGCAGCTTATAACAAAGTTTATGCAAAATATTAGTTGGAAGTACCTATATCATTCATGCACTACGTACGGGTTTTGCTAGACTAGTTCTCAAAGCTGGTCAGTGTTCAGGAGAGCAGCTTTACGAATCTTCTTTCTTGCAATGCCATTTGGTTATTGTTCACCATGCGTCTCCGTAACAGAATCAATATCTGTCCAATGTAATACAATTAAATAATCACAAATAAGTATATTGTCAGCTATAACAAATTTAAATCTTATAGTAGAATTCGTATATAACAATAATAAAAGTCTGTCAAGCATAATTGCGTGCACACAAAAATGATATTGTGCAGGTGTTTATATATACATGTTGACTAAGTAACAACTTGAATTAAACATAAACTATTCGATAGAGTGAGTTATATTTTTAGGATTTAAATATAAGAAAAGTATATTGGAGAAATGAATATTATCTTCTCTTTTGCGTATGCCATATGTTAGGTCCAAATTTGGAAGAGAAAAAAGGAATATGGGAATATATTGGGAGAGTATCTAAATAAAATAATTGATAGTATTAGTTAAACATAAAGTAGAAAACGGACAGAAATAATAAAACAAAAACAAAAGGCAAGGGATAGTTGACGATGCATGTGTGTGTCATATGGGTTGGGGTTGGGTCTCTTAATAATTTTTGTGAATGAATGTGGAGAGAAACTAACACATGATTGACGGTGATGGACACAGTTATGTTTCTTTGAATCTCAGATTTGCTTTATTGTTCATAAAATATTGTTATTTACATTGTGAAGCCATTGGATTGTATGGGTGCACGCATCTCATTCTGTCTTTGTTGCACTAATCTCAAGCCAATTATATTAATTATAGCATCGTGTTAAAAACATACAGTGTTAATTGATCAATATTCAATTTATTTCCAGGAGTAGTGCGTATATATTGGAAATCAACAAATAAATTTGAAAGAATTAGATTCTCTCTCGTTTCAGAGATGTGTTTCCTTTCCTAATCTTTCTGAAATATAGTAACACTAACAAGCATAGTAAATTAATCAAAGAATTTATACTACAATCATCCATTAATCTAGAATATTAATGGTGTGAATGCCTTTTTTGCATGCATGTGAAAAAAATGTCATTAAATAACGTCGATTTTGTTCCGGAAAGAATATTTACCGCTGGAATCATCAAATACTGGAGAAAAGTCAAAAAAGTTAAAAACGTTTTGTTTGAAACAGATTTGAATAAGGGAAATTAAGCTAAATATACAAAAAAAAACACAAATTTATTAACTGGGGCAAATCTCTAAAATAACACATTTTTAAGTTTATGTTTTAAAAATAGCACTCAAAAATTAAAATGACCAAAATAACATTTTATCTTTTGAAAATTTTAAAAAAATTATTTTTCAAAAATAAATCTTATCCACAAAACCCCACTCTCCAACTCTAAACCCTAAAACTTAAATTCTAAACTCTAAACTCTAAATCCCACCCTTAACTCTAAACCTTAATGTCTAAATTAATTTATCATTAGAATATATTTATCTCTTTTGACAAAACATTAAATGAAATTTTGATCATTTTTATTATTAAATGTTATATTTTGTAACAAAAACTTTTTTTGTGTTATCCTAATCATTTTCTTTCTTAACTGCCGAAAATAATCACTTTCACTTATTTTCTCTTTCTATCTCTCTCTGCTCTCTTTTTCAAATTTAATTTCCTTCATTTTTTTTTTGGTTCTATGGCAAATGAGCCCATTTAAATAAGTAAAGTTTTTTTATAGGAAAATAAAGTGAAACTGCCAAATTTAGATTCCCAGTTTGACTTTTGAGTGGAGAGATGTCATAAAGAAAAACTTGGAAATTTCAGAAAATGAAAAAAGAAGCTTTTATGCTTCGATCGAAATTCGAATATTTTCCTTAAAAAAAAATTCAAGATCTCTTTTTATTACAAAGAGAGAAGTGGAGATGATAATTGTCTAAACTCGCTGAGGGAGAAAAAAGGCTTTACCAAAAGAGAGTACTTCTCTCTCTACAAAAGTTTTATCTTCGCCCACATTTAAAAGAAAAGAAATAAATAAAGTGAACTTATTTTCTTGATCTCACACTTCATTCCTTGAGAGGAAGAACTATTGTCCTCAAGATCAGAGCTGAGAGAGAGAGAGAGAGAGAGAGAGAGAGAGAGAGAGAGAATGAGCATGGCTAGTGAGGAAGCAGTCAAGCAATTACGTACCTTGTTGGAAGAAGGTGTGTCTGATTTCGTTTTTCTTCATGTTTTAAGCTTTGCTTCTTTGTTTCAACACCACCGACGAAAATTTTATATATATAGCTAATTTTTTTGTTTATTTTTTATCTTGTGGTAATTGACAGTTGAAGATGAATCACTGAGAGAGTCGTATCGGGTTAGTGAGATTAAACTTTCTTTATTTTCTTTAGATGCTCAGAAAGAATGATTCAACTCCAACCTCTTTTTTTTTTTTTGCTTATTGAATTCTCCCCAAGATTGCTAGTTCAGATTTGGGCATCATCAGTCTTCTAATAAAAATACACTTATTTATTTTTTTAGTTTTGGGGGTCAACCAATCTGGTGTCATGTGTATGTGATCTGGATCTATTATTTTTGAATCTGCATCTAAAAGTTGTTTGCATTTAGTTAAATTTCAAAAAATGATCCAAATGTTGTTTGTTGGATCTGTGGAGTTGGAAGATGATCAGTATTGGTTTGGATCTTTTATGTGTTAGCCTTAGATTCAGAAAAAAAAATAACAAAAATGCTATGTTTTATTATGTTTGCAGAACATTCATCAAGGTTATCCCACAGAGACTTTGTTGCGCTTTCTTAAAGCCAGAGATTATAATGTCCACAAAGCTCACAAAATGGTTCTTTCATTCTCTTTGCTTCTTCTTCTTCTTATATCAGCCCTTTCTCTCAGGGCTTAGACTAATGCTTGCAAGTGTTCATAGTTGCTGGACTCTTTGGAATGGAGGACTCAGAACGAGATTGACAATATACTAACCGTGAGTTTTGTGCTCTTGTTATTTCTATTTTTGAGAAACCCTTTCATCTCATTCTGTAATTGTTTTTTTTTTTAATTATGCAGAAACCCATTGTTCCTGTTGACCTGTACAGAGCAATCAGAGACTCTCAGCTTGTCGGTCTCTCTGGTTATTCAAAAGAGGTACCAACTACTACTTCTACATGTTTCTTTTTTTTTTCTTTGACTTTCAGTAAGCATCAAAACATGTTTGACCCAAAATAATTCATCTAAAAACTTGTAGGGTCTCCCTGTCATTGCAATTGGTGTGGGGCTTAGCACATATGACAAAGCCTCCGTAAGCACTTCTATATTCCTCTTCCAACTGAGAAGACTTTATATGAAGTTCAAACTCATAACCATAGCTTTTCTGATACTTCATTCAGGTTCATTACTATGTACAGTCTCACATTCAAATGAATGAGTACCGGGATCGTGTTGTATTGGTATGACCATTTAACTCTACATTTTTCCCCTCCCTACATAAGCTTGTCTTTCATAGTCTTAATGGTTGTGTGGTTTTCTTTTCTGTAGCCATCTGCTACAAAGAAACAGGGACGACCAATCTCCACTTGTTTGAAAATTTTGGATATGTCTGGTTTGAAGCTTTCAGCTTTAAGTCAAATTAAGGTAATGAATCTAATATGTTTTTTGGTCTTTTATCTACTAATTACATTTACTCATGGTTTATATAAGAACTAGTAGTGTGTGTTTTTCATATGACACATGAGTGTTTTCATTTTTTTGTGCAGTTAATGACTACTATAACCACAATTGACGATTTAAACTATCCAGAGAAGACGGAGACATATTATATAGTCAATGTCCCCTACATATTTTCTGCATGTTGGAAAACCATAAAGCCTCTGTTGCAAGAGAGGACAAAGAAGAAGATTCAAGTTCTCAAAGGCTGCGGTAAAGATGAGTTGCTTAAGGTAAAGCAATTCAATTCAATTACCCTCTTTGTGCAACAAGGCTGATTAGTTTTTTTTTTTGGAAACGTAACGCAGGTAATGGACTATGAGTCACTGCCACATTTCTGTAGAAGAGAAGGGTCTGGATCTGGTAGGCATATCTCAAGTGGAACAGAAGACAATTGTTTCTCTTTGGATCACTCTTTCCACCAACAGCTTTACAGTTATGTGAAGCAACAGGCTCTAGTGAAAGGGCCTTCGAGTGCACCGATCAGACATGGTTCGGTCCACGTTAGGTTCCCTGAGCCAGCCACGGAAGGCACCAAGATATTCGATACCTTAGAATCTGAGTTCCAGAAGCTTGGATGTGACCAGAAGGTCTGATAAATGATGAACAAGAAGCAGAGTTTTTCTCTGGTTTGTAAGTTTATGAGAGCAGCAGAGTATTTTTATGATAAAGAATCACCTCTACTTGTTGAGCATCTCAAGGACTGTATTACTAGATTTGCTTGCAAGTTTTGTTGTAACAAAAAAAGAAAAAACAGAATCTCCTCTGTATGGATCTTATGATCTAATATTATATATTTAGAACTCTTTCTATTAAGGGTTCATTTGCAAATAGAGAAGCTTCCTCATGCTCTGTCTTCATAATTTCATATTTTTAAATCAAGACTGAAGATTCCAGCAACACTTTGTGGGGGGGGGGAGAGCAAAGAGTACCCTTCTTGAAGTCTGTTAGTGCTCTTTGATATCACCATTGTTGCAGAGTTTTGTCTTCGTTTATGAAACTTTGTCGCATCACTATGAGGCATACACATTCATGGTGATTCTTGATTCTGACTCAGCACTAAGAAACCCAAATTCACTTTTGTCACTATTCTTAATATTAGTCATTAACATTGTGCTTTCAGTTTTTTTTTTTTAATTCTTTTAACGACCAATCATTTCATCAGACGACAAGTCTTGATCCTTAGAAACATAGTGGTTGCAGTCAACATCTTGTCTGAAATGGATAGGATACATATTTGCTGACGATCCCAGTGACGTCAGTGAAGACCTTCAGGGTCTGAGTTGCTTTTTTGACAATGTCCAAAAGCTACATTTCTCTCTCTCAATCAACTAATATCTACTCTATATATAAGTCTAGCTTACGAGAGAGACACCTACACTTCTCTAACTCTTCTCTTTATCTTTCCTCTAAGCGCCTTCTCAGAGAAATCACACAAAGAAAAAATAATATGACTAAAGAAGACAACCGGTTTATTCCGGTTCACGAAGGCGATCGTGAACCGCTTTTTGAGACCAGGAACAGAACCGGAGGAGTGATCGCGTTCCGCGTTTTCGCGGCCTCTGTTTTCGCCTCTATCTGTTCGATTTGGTTCTACAGACTGACCGTACCGGTTGAGATCGATGAAAACCAAACCGGTTTCCTTCGATTCATCCGGTTAGTTATGTTAATTTTAGAGATTTGGTTCGGTTTCTATTGGTTAATCATACAATCTCTCCGGTGGAATCCGGTTTGGCGATTCACCTCCACCGATACACTCTCCCGTAGGCACGGCAACGACCTCCCAAAACTCGACGTTTTCGTTTGCACGGCGGATCCGGTGATCGAGCCGCCGTTGATGGTGGTCAACACAGTCCTATCCACTTTAGCTCTCGATTACCCGCCGGAGAAACTAGCCGTGTATCTCTCGGACGACGGTGGCTCTCAGCTCACGTTCTATGCTCTCTCGGAGGCAGCTGAGTTTGCTAAAACATGGGTTCCGTTTTGTAAGAAGTTCGACGTGGAGCCGAGATCTCCTGCTGCTTACTTGTCTAGCAAGGCAAATGGTCTTGATACTGCTGAGGCAGTGGAGGTGGCTGAGTTGTATAAAGAAATGGCGGATAGGATTGAAACTGCGACGAAGCTTCGGCGAGTACCCGAGGAGGCGCTGTTTAAGTACGGTGACGGGTTTGCTCAGTGGGATTCTGACGCTACTCAAAGAAACCATGGGACCATTCTTCAAGTAAGTAAACGAAACGGCTTTTCTAGTTATGTTCTGTCTTAAAAACAGAGTCTTACTTTATTGGTTTCTATCAGATTTTGGTAGACGGAAGAAAAGAGAAGACAGTATCAATACCAACGTTGGTTTACCTATCGAGAGAGAAGAGACCTGAGCATCATCATAACTTCAAGGCTGGATCCATGAATGCATTGGTAAATGGTTTACTTGTTACACAAGTCATATAACGTTTGTCAAATAGGAGGAGGACATTGCTTTAGTTCATTTGATGGGTTTGTTTCTTTGGCAGTTAAGGGTGTCTTCAAAGATCAGCTGTGGGAGAATCATACTTAGCTTGGACTGTGATATGTACGTAAACAACTCAAAGTCAGCACGCGAAGCGCTCTGCATCCTGCTTGATGAGAAACAAGGGAAAGAGATTGCTTTCGTGCAGTTCCCGCAGTTTTATGATAACCTTACAAGGAATGATTTGTATGGAAGCATGATGCGAGTAATAGCACATGTGAGTATAATACCGCAGAAAACAAAACATATTGATTCTGTTGTGAACTAACCTTCTTCTGTTAAAAAAAAAACATTAAAAGGTGGAGTTTAATGGATTGGATGGAAACGGTGGACCGTTTTACATTGGGACTGGCTGCTTTCACAGAAGAGATGTGATTTGTGGAAAAAAGTATGGAGATGATGAAGAAGAAGAAGAATCTGAGGAGGTTCAAGAAATTTTAGAGTCTGAGATGATAAAGGCTCTTGCGAACTGCACTTACGAAAAAAACTCTCAATGGGGAAAGGAGGTGAGAGACAGTGATTACTAATACTTGGACTGTTTCTTGCAACACAAGTAAAAACATAATTTTGTTTTGTTTTGTGTTGTTTCAATGGGCAGATGGGTGTGAAATACGGTTGCCCTGTAGAAGATATAGTTACCGGTTTATCGATCCAGTGCCGGGGATGGAAATCAGCGTACCTGACACCTAAAAGGAAAGCGTTTCTTGGTGTAGCGCCGACCAATTTGCATCAAATGCTGGTGCAGCAGAGGAGATGGTCAGAGGGTAACTTTCAAATTCAGCTTTCAGAGTATAGTCCGGTTTGGTTTGGTCAAGGAAAAATCGGTTTAGGATTGATAGTTGGTTACTGTTGCTATGGCTTCTGGGCTCCAAGCTCACTACCTCTACTTGTTTACTCTGTTTTGACTTCTCTCTGTCTTTTCAAAGGCATTCCTCTGTTTCCGAAGGTATAAAATAACAGTTTTCTTCTGTTTTTATAATGTTTTGGGTAAATAACATGTAAACTGGTTTGGTCATTGAGTCCAGGTCTTGAGCTCGTGGTTTATTCCGTTTGGATACGTGACAGTCGCAGCAAATGCTTATAGCCTAGCCGAGTTCTTGTGGTGCGGAGGAACGTTACGTGGGTGGTGGAACGAGCAAAGGATGTGGCTTTACAGAAGAACAAGCTCGTTTCTTTTCGGGTTCATGGACACGGTTCTGAAGAAACTTGGGGTTTCGGAGTCTGCGTTTGCCATCACAGCGAAAGTAGCAGAAGAAGAAGCTGCAGAGAGGTATGAGAAAGAGGTAATGGAGTTTGGAGTGGAGTCTCCGATGTTTCTTCTGCTGGGAACACTCGGGATGCTCAATCTTTTCTGCTTGGCCGCAGCGATTATGAGGCTGGTGATGACATCTAGAGAGGATGTACAGACAATGGGTATGCAGTTTGTGATAACAGGACTACTTGTGGTGCTAAACTTGCCTTTATACGAGGGTATGTTGTTGAGGAAAGATAAAGGGAAGATGCCACTGAGCGTGACTGTTAAATCAGTTGTCTTAGCTTTATCTGCCTGCACTTGTATTGCGTTTCTGTAAAGGGAAAAGAGAGTCTAATGTATTCAAAATAATTGCCACCAGATATTTATATATAACTCTTTTGCTGCATGCACTCATTTGCAGATTCATTCTCTGTCTGCTTCATATATATTGCCATACAGATTGCAAATTTGCGTTCAATCAATCGTGTCTGAATGTTCTTCAATTTCACAATTGTTGCGGTCATGTTGATTCTTGATATGATTCAGCTCTCTCTCTCTAAGATCAGATAAGAAAATTAAAGAGAATATTAAAAATTTAAACTTGTTACCTTTTGAGTCAAAAGTTTTGACTGTTCATCACCAACTGTTTGCTAATAAAGTCAAAGAAACATCAGCCTTTTATCTTTTCTTGAGATGTGTCTCATCATCTATGATTATTGGATGCTACCTGACATGTTTTATCTGGAAAATTGACATAACGGTTGTTCTAGTGACATCAGTGAATGTTTTCTTTTGAAATGTCACCTCCACTTACCAAAAAAAGAAGAGGTAGTGGAGTGGTGTCTTCCATGTTTCTCATCCTCGGAACACATCAAAATCTCTCAGGTTTTATAGTTTGGGATAACATGAGTATATATGGTACTAAGCTGGCCTTTATAGTTTATACCAAGTCTTATGTTGTTGAGGAAAGATGCCAATGAGCGTCGCATTCGAACCATTTGTCTTATTAGCTTTGTCTGCTACAGCTACCACTTGTAATGAAAAGATAAAAGGGCCATTAAAACTCTAAAGCATTTCTTCTTCTACTTTAAAGATTTTTGCTTTACAAAATCCAAAAGAGAAAAATGTCTTCTATAATACTAGAATACCATATGGACATAAAAAACAAACTCACTCGATTTCTCTGTTCATTCTACAGTCTTTTTTTCAAAAGCTCCTTTCATTCGAGTTGTTCAGCTCATTGATGTTGGGAATGAAGATAGTCCTCATCTGGAACTTCCCACGAAAACACAAGGCTAGAGAGATCAAAGAATGCATCTGCAAAGCCTTTGGCTCCACTTCCGTCACTTCTGTCTACCACTTGGACGAGGTTGCAGTTTTCGTCTTGTTAAAGAACTCAGAACTCGTTTCAGAGTTCCTAAAGCTCAAGGAGCAGCTGGAGTCAGATAATGGTCCTGTCACGGTTATTCACCCTATCTCCAAGATCCTTGAAGGAGGGAACACTGGAGCTGCAGATTACCAAGTCAACAAAGAGATTTGTAGCTCACACATCTCTAATGTCTTATTCTCTGCCCAAGCTGAAACAGTTGGTGTCAAATCAAGAGCAAGACCCGTGCCAAAAGGGGGAGGTAAGCCCTGAGACTGAGAGAAGAGAGAAGATGGTCGCTGTGACTGATAAAACATGGGATTGAAGCTGTTTTTTATCAAAGGCAGCGAGTCTCTTTTTAAAATATTTTTTGTCAACTCAACATGAAAGGCATATACAGTAGTTTGATACCAAATCTATACTATTATTTGCGAAGTGATTTTTAGCAATGGAGTTCTCACGTTAAAAGTTGGAGTGGTTAATTTCGATTATACCCTTAATGAATAATTAAAAAATTGCAATATATAATTAGCTATAAATAAAAACGAATTTCAGTGGTTTAAGATTTATCCTTATCTAAAAATATTTTCTAATGTTTTAAATAGTCTTTATTAATCTTGAAAATAGTTTTATTTGTTAATATATAATT